AGCGCCTTAGCGCAAACGACGCCGCACGATATGTAGCGTGATACATAGCCTTGAAGCCTTCGTCTTCGTCCGTATCAGCAGCAATCGCCGCCGTTGGGGGCTTCGAGAGCAATTGTGATGCCACGGTTGTAGGTGCGGGTAGGGTGGGGGATTCCGTATCTGGATCTTGAAAGACGATTCCCTTTTGCTGCTGTTGCTGTTGCTGTGTATTATTGTTGGATGCAGTTGTTGTACGTGAATTTCGATGAAAGCCATATAGACGCATGCAGGTTAATATGGTTCTTGTGAGCAACGCCTTGTTCGCGCCAATGATCTCGGACGACAGTGATGTGGGGGTCATCGCTACATCCGCCTGCGGCAGGGATATTTGGCTATCCTGTTGCCGCGGAGTTGGACGGGCAGAAGCGGGAGCAGGAGCAGGCGTGCTTCTGCGACTCGACATGCTTGAAGTGCGCATATGTGCCACGGGAGCCGCCGCGGGCAAAGGCTGCTCCTTCGACACCCCCGTAATTCTACTAAATGATAGCGTCCGCGGCCTGCGCACACCATCATCGTTATTGCTATCAAGTGTATCAACCGTATGACAATCCACAGGCTCCTTCTTAATCTTCATCGCACCTGACTTCGCCAGCTGGTGCGCCGATGAGGAGTTTCTCGACATGAGCTGCGCAACCGCCGCGCCACCCTTCCGCCGGACCCGTTTGTGGTACTCAGTCGCCGCGTCGAAAAGGCTGGCTATCCGCTTCCGCTTGGGGCAGGGCGATTCGAGCTCCAGCGGGAGGAACTCTGCGAACGGCTCGTTGTTGTTATCATTACTTTTATGATTGTCAAAGTTAATTTTTTTGCTGTCTGCTGACGAAGGAGGCTCGGGACTGAGCGGTGGCGTTGGTAGTGATTCAGCCTTCATAATAAGAGCGGAACAAATCGTGACAGCATATATTTGTAGTTCCCTTTGCGGACCGCTATTTTCACTCACTAGATTGTGATCTAAATCGGGACCGGAGAAAGGTTGTGATGAAGACGGAGGAGGTGTACGCGGGCGATTGATATACAGTGAAGGCGGCCCCAGTATCCCATACACAAGGATGTCCGTTACATGGCGAGAACCAATCTCCCCACCACGCTGCTTCGGGTCTTCGACCGCTAAGAGCACTCCAGTCGGACATTGGATGGGTATCGACGAACCCAGCTCGTCGGCATTGTCGCCCCATATACCACTCAATAGTCTAGTCTTCCACCACTCCGCCACGTCGGGATGTGTAATATGGGCTTCCAGCGTGGGGCCCGTTCGCGCGTAATAGGGTATGAGAGTGGGATTAACGAAGGCACGGAGGGAGAGGTTTGCGTCTTTGCGGAGGTCGCTGGGTTGTGCTGGGGATGGATTGAGGAGGGAGATTCCTGGGAGGGAATGATTAATAAATAATTATATTGGGGAATTGTTTTACTTCTTTCATGCACGCTCGCTTTGTTACCTCTTCCCTGTGAGGGATCCCCAACACCATTGATGGGTCCCGACCAGACCTCCATATATCTGCTCTCTGATGCATCAGACGGGAACTGGGAGGTATTTAATGTCAGCTCAAAATCAACTGCTGTGGCTGATCTTTGCATAAGATATAATCTATTTCCATCTAATCTGCCAGTTTTAAATCCGCAACTCCTCAATATGCTGTAAGTTGAAATCGTTTGCCTGAATATCAATTTTACAGTCGCGACTCCGAAACGACGCTTGGGAGAACACGATGTCACGTGGATTCGAACAATCAATTGCCTAGGCCTCGGTACCAGGGAATGGCGATGCGGAAAAGTGAAGCCAGCAATACGGGATCTTGTTCACTACAAGAAACATAAGGTGGTGATATTGTACACGTACATGGACATTTGGCAAATCGGAAAAAGTAAGGGAAACCAACGCCGAAACATAAAAGGAGGAATTGTCTGGTAATCGGAAGAAGAAGTCAAAATGAACTATCATCAACAGCTCCCATTGGGAGATTATGGTGAGTATCCAGGAGTGATATCCTGGCATTGACATCCATCGAAAAAAGGTCTTCCGTCTTGCAAACGTAATCCCAGCCCGGGTGAAGAATAGCGATATGGTCAAAGAAACGGCTGAACCCTTCCAAAACAGGCAAAAATTATCATGAATGAAGGGGGGAACAACCCGTTGGAAAAAGAAAAAAAAACTCACTCTCCAGAACATGAAATACCATGGGGTGTCAAGAGCGAGTAGAAAAAGCAAATACATACAAACTATTATTAAAGAGATACGATGATGAGAGGCCCAGCATAAAAACACACAGCCGCAACAAAATGCTTGCAGAGTTCTAGTCTTTAGAAATCTTCTTGCTCCTGGAAAAATATAGAGAAACTGATGATGGTGACGTATATTAAGAGACCGCCCAGAATCGACATGACCATCGCGGGGACTCGGATGGCACCGCTATGCGCCAGAAGGGTCGGGAGGGCTATTTAGGCAACCACAAGTTCAGTCTGCGAGAATAGAATCGATGGTATGGAAAAAGGACGGCGGTGAAGGAAACCAGACAGTCTGTCTTGTGAAGCTGGATAGCGCCGCTATAGGGCATAGAATGGAATACACAAAACACTCACCAATCCCCATCACAACCAGGAAGCCCGTACACCACCTGCCAAAGTCGACCACGGTGTTCCCCGCGCTCTCCATGAAGTCATCTGGATTTGCGCAGCGGCTGCATATCCAGTTCGGTAGTGGGGCGATTACGTATGTAGCGACGACGAGGAGGGGGAGGTAGTTGTGCCATAGGGCGGCGGAGAGGATGACGAGGAGAAAGCCAATTGCGAGGATCTGGGTAAAAAAGAGATTAGATGGGGCAGTGGGAATGCGAGCTGGGATCAGTTGGGGGAGAATGGTAACATACGAAAGAAAGGGAGATGATTGTTCTCAGGCCTGCCGCCATGGCTAAGGAGGGATTAATTTGGGAGGAGGGAGGGAGGGCGGAGACGGAGGCGCAGGCGGAGAAGGGAAGAATTTGATATCAGCCCGCTCCCAGCTGGAGGTCTCACAGGCGAAGGTTGGTGGGGGTATATCAGGAGCTGTGGAAAGGGAGTGGCAACATGTGGTGTTATCCCGGCGACAGACCAGGTGTGGCTCTTAAATACGGAATAAAGTGGGCCGGGACAAGACACAGTATATGTCTTTATATAAATAATAAATAGTCTGCTGTGTTCTCCTGTTGTATAACTATTAGCGATAAAGTTGTTTGTTCTTACGATGCGACGACGACGGCGGCAACGGCAGGTGGATTATGTAACAGCTTAGCTAACCCGATTGACAAGCAGTTTGCACCGCGTCACTTTGAGTCTGCCTGAGATAGATATCAACACTCAATTTTATTTTGTATTTCCGCAATATCTTATTACACAAGGACAAGGGAGAGGAATATATTGCGGGATAAACACTTGTCTTTTGTATTATACCCATTCCTCGGTCTATCCACCATGTTCAGGAACAATTACGACAACGATTCGGTTACCTGGTAAGCTCTCCTCACGACGAAATAAGAACCACCAATTTTCTGACCATGTATAACACTGTACAGCTCGCCGCAAGGAAGAATCTTCCAGGTAGAATATGCCCAAGAAGCTGTGAAGCAAGGCTCTGTCGTTGTTGGAATTGCTAGCAAAACACATGCCGTCCTAGTAGCTCTCAAGGTACGAGAGACAAAACAAAACCATACACATATCCCATAGATCAATGTATATATTTTATCTATGTATATGTATATATATATCTAACGTAAACACCCAGCGCAATGCCGAAGAACTCTCCTCCTACCAAAAAAAGATCATCCCCATAGACCGGCACATGGGCATCGCCATTGCAGGCCTAGCCTCTGACGCCCGTGTCCTCTCCAACTTCATGAAACAGCAATCCCTCGCTTCAAAAATGACTTACGGCCGTCCCATTCCCCTCGAAAACATCGTCGACCGTGTAGGCGAGCGCGCCCAGACAAACACCCAGCACTACGGCAAACGGCCCTACGGTGTCGGCCTGCTCGTGGCCGGCGTCGACGATGCGGGGCCCCATCTGTACGAGTTTCAACCCTCCGGCATGACCCATGAGATGGTTGCGTATGCGATTGGGGCGCGGAGTCAGATGGCCCGGACGTATTTGGAGAGGCATCTGGAGGAGTTTGACGGGTGTGGGCGGGATGAGTTGATTAGGCATGGCTTGAAGGCGTTGAAGGAGAGTTTGTCCCAGGATAAGGAGTTGACGGTTGATAATACGACGGTTGGCATTGTCGGGGTTGGGGAGGGGAAAGGGAAGGTTGAGGCGTTTAAATTGTATGAAGGGTTGGATGTGGGGGTGTTTTTGGAGAACGCGAGTAATGAGGGGACACAGGGGGGAGGTGAGGGGGAAGCGGAAGCAGAAGGGCAGCCCATGGAAGTGGATTCATGATGATGAAGGATGATGCTGGTGATTGATATATTTTTTCTTTTTCTTTTCATCTTTTTATCTTTTATCTTGTTATGGCTTTGTTTCATTGAGGCTAACTAGATATCAAGGTAGTTTACGGTTTGTGATCTGTTTCTTAGCCACGATCTGCTTATTCGTTCGGAATAGATGACCATTTTCCGTAATTGCGATGACGATAGTAGATGACGATAGTACAAATAAAGGTAATTCCCTAGATTGGTGGAAGGGACTCAGGCACATCAGGCATATATATCCATTGGGTCCTTGATGCATCCCCTATCAGCGTCACACCTGGTAACCCCTGAATATTAACCCGTCCGCTCCATATATTAACTATACTCAAAAGGCAATGTCCCTGAATAGTAATAATATATTTAATAATATATCTAATCTTTCAACCTCAAAAACACCACGCTATAGAATTCGTAATGTTAGCATTTCAAAAAACGTCAAGGGAATCATAAAAAGCACAAAACCCCCTTTCCGTTCTTCCTTTCTATCAGTCTATCCATTAATCCCTCTATTCAATCAAGCAAACAATCTACGACCGCGACCAATCCAACGAATACCTCCCCTCACAAAGCCTATACGCCCTCAATGCCCCCACAACCTCCTCAACATTCTTACATTCCACGAAAATCCCCTTATTCACCTCACTCACAAACTCATCCTTAACCGCCCTCTCAACCCACTCCATCAACCCATCCCAATACCCCGCAATATTCAACAACACAATCCCCTGATGATGAATTCCCAGCTGATTCCACGTAACAACCTCCATTGCCTCCTCAAGTGTGCCAAACCCCCCCGCAAGAACCACAAACCCACTCCCGGGTCCACCCTCCATAACCTTCTCCGCCATCACCCGCTTCCGCGTATGCATATCCGGCACAAGCGTCGTAAGCCCATACTCCGACTCCCCATCCGCACTCTCGTCGCCATCGCTGACAACAATAACCCTCTCCGGCTCCTTGCCGCGCTCCATCGCCGCCCGTTCGGCCTTGGGCCCCGTCAATGCCGTCCGGTATCCGTTCTCGATCTTGACGAGGGCGGAGGGGATGATGCCGTGCACGGACTTGGGGCCGGATAGGGAGACGAGGGTGCGTGCTAGTTCGCCCATAATGCCACCTGTGCCGCCGCCGTAGATGAGGGTGATGTTTTCCTTGTGGAAGATGTGGGCGAGGGCACGGGCGGAGGCGAGGTGGGCGGGGTTGTTGCCTGGATGCGAGCCGCAACTGATTCGGTTTTACCTTGGTTAGCTGGGGGCCCCCGACTGAGTGGGGAAACGAAAGGAATGGGGATACGGTGGGGGTGGCTTACAAGACGCAGACTACCGTGGGTTTGGTGGCGCTGGGGTCTGCGGTGGTGGTGGTGCTGGCCATGGTGGGCAAGATAGTCAAGAGAGCCAACGGTCTATTGTATAGTTTTATCGATTGATTGGATTCAGTGAGGAGTCCAATGATTGCTAGGGTGGTTTTCCGTATATATAGAGATGTGCTTGGATATGCGAAATGTCAGATTGTTTTTTTAAACACGGGGGAACGGAAGGCACCCAAGTACCTATGGAAATTAGCTAAAAGACTCTTCTGGGTGCGACAACAACAGTACCAACAAATGGTACGATTCGTCGGTTCGGCGCAAACAATTTCTTGATGGAAAGAAGAGAAGAAGACAAAAAGGGCCGATGAGGGTCTATATATCCGTGGATGTGCGGAGCAGATGGTTGTTCTGCCCGTATATCTATATATATACCAGTGTGAATAATAATAGTAAGTATTTGCACTTTTTATGCTTCAGGAACCAGCACGAAACTTTGCTAGAAAACTAAGAAGTGTAAGTTAATAGCAATGCCATATATAGACATATAGGTGATCCTTATATATGAAAAATTTATTGAATATTTAGGTTGATTTTGAGAATAAGGAAGCTCAGTATGAGTATGTGATTAGAATGGCAGTCTTCATGTAGAACTTGTTGTTATGGCACAAGCTGAGAACAGTGGGAATCTTCAGCTCAGATGCAAAAACGCGGCCTGCTGTCGAAAGAGATAATCCAGCAAGAAATACAAGTAGAGGAGACATAGAATACATATGATGCCAGATATAGATAGCGCCTCCGAAAACAAAATATCCTTCTCATAACGCCTCTTATCGTATTCGCCTCCAGGTATTATTGTTTATCCCCAACCAAAGCCCCAATTGCAAGACAAGAAGCAAAACAAAACTGCGAAAGACACCGCCAAAATTGCTAACATCCCAATAGGAAAATAACATCACGAGCTAGGCATACCCGCACCCGCACCTGCATGAGCTGCCGTAGCGGAAGAAACTTTGCTCTTCTTCCTCCTAATCTTCCCCCCACCAGGCGTAGTCGGACTCTTCTCTCCTCCCTTCCCCGCCCTCGCTGCTCCAATCGTCGCCGCATCAGTCTTAATAGCCGGCACCGCAGCACCGGCCCAAGTGCTAGCACCAGCTCCGACGCCAGTCCCCGCCGGTGTACCCGGTTTACTCATCACACCCACACCAACAGTCGGGACAGGAGTGGGTGCCTTGGGCTGGGGAGCCTTGGCCTGCTGTCTCGTCGCCAGCGGCTCAGTGGATGCCTTGCCGATGATGAAGGAGCCCGGTTCACCCAGCAAGGGGGCGTCGTCCATGAATTCATCACCGTAGCGGGAGAGGAGGTTGAAGGCCTCGGCGAAACTGCGGGAGTCTTGCATTGTGGTGGATTGGGAGAGGGAGGAGGGTGCGTTTGTCGTGGTGGTGGCAGTGGTAGCTAGAGGCGGTGTGGTTCCGGCTCTTGATTGTGCAGGTAGGTCTGGGATGGGTGTGTTAGCTGTGCTTTGTTGGGTGGATTGTTGGCCTGGGCGGGAAGGGTCGAGGTATTTGGGGACAGGGGGCATGTATGTGTGACCGTAGGATGGAGAGAAGAGAGGGAGTGGTGATGCGACGGAGAGAGCTTTCGTGAGGGAGGTTACTGTTGAGAGCTGGCGTCACAAGATAGAAAATTGTTGTCAGTAATTCTAATTACAAGATATATATATATATATATATAGCATGCTGCAAAGATTGCCAATACATACCATCCGACTCCCAATAACCTTCAACACCGACGGGGCCATATACACCGAATCCCCCACAACAAAATACGTCGCGAGCACCTGAATCTCATCATCGCTCGCCCGCTTCTTCCGCACCTGCTTCCGAATCACCCACACATTCGACGGCTCTTGTGGTAGCTTTTGCGGCACTTTCTCGTCCGCCGCAATAGCCGCCGCAATAGCCGCCGCAGCCGCCACCTCCTGCAACGGATCACGCACCACCATAAACTCCACACCTTGCATGGTCTTCAGGCGACCCTCAAACGCTTCGCGCGTCTCGATGAAGTGGCGGAAGTTTTCATTGTAGGACGCTTGAATGGCGAGGGAGGCATTGTTGGAGGTGGCGTCGAAGAAGGGGGATTCGGCGAAGTAGAAGAGGACTGTTTTTGTATTGGTTAGCCCATGTTCTTTTTTCTTTCTTTTTCCATTTCATTTTGGCATTTTCTCTGCAATGCGGGTTTAAGAGGAGGAGCGTACTGTTGTTTGAATGGAGAAAGCCGCCCATCATCTGTACGTGGTGCGGCGAGCGCCAGGTGATTTCTTCCAGCGGGACATCAGGCTGCGCAGCCATGGTGAGTGGGATCAGCAAGAGACGGCGGGATGGGGAGGAAGCATAGGGGAGCTGCAAGTTAAGGGTTGATAAGTGCCATGGGACATGGTTGTGCTGGAGAGCTGCATTTGCAGTATCCTGCTCTGTGGATGTGAGCACAACGTCCGATGATATATATATATATATATATATATTGTATTGTATTGTATATGTATGTATATGTATATATGGCATGTTGATGGGGACGGGAAAGTTACTAGTGTATTATGTATGGTAACATAATGTATTAAAATACGTTCCTCTTCATCTGTCGTACATATTGTAAGAGTGATATAGAAAATAATCTAGAAGAGATGAGCAGAGTGAATATGTCAATATGAACTGAGTATTGAGATCATGGATTTCTCATCTTTTGCTAGTGAAGCATAGTGAAACATATCATATGGATTTTGTAGATAGGACAGCATATCTCAGGCACAACTGCAGTCGTCGCTCAAAATATTGGCCGCAGAACCCCTCGATATCCACTCCCTGGCCATTGGAAGCCTGTTAAAGCACTGGGTATGTAGTAATTCAGTAGCAGTTAACTCACTATTAAATCAAATAAGATACAAGAACATAGGAATTCTCCCATCCTTTCAGTACCCACTCAGACACTAACAAACATAGGAACAAAACAAGGCGATCCCTCTTGATGTAAACCCCGCAACACAGCGCCCATACCAACACCACCGTTGAAGGGAATCCATTTATTGTCAAGGCACCTAAAAAACTACCAAGTCCCAACCGGAATCCCAGAAAATTGTCACATGGACATGAAAGAAACATGACGAAAAATAAGAAGAAGCCGCAATTTTCCCTACCCTTAATCCCCCGTCATCAATGCCTTGACCAAGCTCCACATAATGTTGTCATCCCAAGTCGCCCTTTCACATGAAAACACCCTCATCCAGCCCCAATGCCAAACACCAGACCAGACCAGACCGGACCCCTAAAACGGCAAAGTCTGTTGAAACTTATCAACCTCTCTCAGACACACAATGGCCGCGATCCACCGGAAACTAATAAGCTTGCGCTTCTTCTTGCCATGTTTATCCGTCCTCTCTGCCATCCCTGACTGGTCCGGAGGCCGATAATAGCCAGCGTCCGAGTTATTGTGTCTGAATGTCTTTGAGCGGGACAACTGCGGGTTATCCTTCATACCATTTGCTTCCATCTCCTCTTCCACAGCAATATGAAGGCAGGCGATGGAGCGCTCGAGAGCTTCCATGCCGCCTGACTCGCGGTCTTGGATCATGGCGGTGATGAATTCGATGAGGTTATTGTATTCTGTTTGTCGTGGAGTTAGTTAGTCATTCATTTGTGGATTGGTTATTTGAATAAGGATTGTTTGGCATGCCTTCTCTCATTTCTGTCGACGCATCCTTTTGTCGCTGAGAGAGTTTCTGTCCATGTCCCAATATGTTACCAACGAACACCTCATATTCGGAAATGAAACTCTTCCAGGGAGTGGAAGAGTAACGATGCATGAGACCCCAGAGATTGTCTTCATAACTACACGATAAAAACAGAAGCTATTAGTGAGGTTCAAGTGAGAAGAGAAACAGAGAGAAACAAAAAAAAAAACCAAAACACAATATCAAATATATATCAGCCCCACTGGTTTCACATACATCTCACGAATATAACGTGCATTCTCAATATGATGATCCCACAAAAACCCCTTCGTCTCCGCCTGCACATATGCCCACACACCCATAAGCACGCTTGGCGTAGCCAATCCCGAGGGACGCTGCGTGGCATGCTGCCATTTGTGAAGGAAATCCACTTCATCTATGGAGCGGTACAGTTTCCCTAGGATTTTGTAGCTCTTATAGAACCTGGTGGGTGGGCGCTCGTCGTCCTCATCATCATGAAGGTCCTGAGCAGTCGTCTCCTCGTCTTCTTCAAACAAAGACAGACTTTCTGCGATGCGGACGCGGGGGCCGTGGGCCTGGAAGTCTGGCCGGTATCGTGGGAATTTGGGGATACGTGCAAGGTCGACCTAACATTTTAGCAAATGAAGGGTTAGCATACCGTTCATCTTTCTGGGGCAAGACTTTTCCTTGGCACTGTCAACTAGAAAGGAAGGAAACTTACAGGGACTCCACTCTTCGAGAAGTCAACAGCGGTAGAATGTAGCTCGGCAAGCAACAAACACTGTTCGTCAAAAGTTCCACGATCCCGCTGATCAGCAATCGCCTGATGGATCGTGGCAATCCGCCCCAACTGATCCTGCTGCATAAACGTAACGAAAAAATCAATGATATCATCAGTCACTACCGGCCGGTTAAGCACCTTCTCCTCCACGCGGGGGTATTCCGCGGGGGGTACCGTTATCTTAGGAATTAGGGTTTCATCGTATATGACGTTATACAGATCACCATCGAGATCACCACCGCTCAACATGCTGGGGAGGTCACGGTCGCCGTATTGACTAAAAGCGATGCAGTTATGTAGCTGGCGAAGGGGAGAGTCGGCTGGGACATCGACCGCCTTGGCCACTTGGACGTCCCCAGGATGCATAGCTGGCGAACGGGTAACGACAACCCTAGGTCTGACAAGCACCTCTCTGTGACCATCTTCACTCAGAGTAACGCAGAAAATCTCTCCTTCCTTGAGGATTCCGGTTTCATCCATGATACCAAAGAGCGTCACGGCATTCGGGACTCGGATCCGAGCACGGTACTTCAAATCTCGTAGCTTAATCAGAACAGCAAGCTCCATAACTCGTCGCAAGAATTCATCATCAGTATGGCTAAGTCTGAAGCCTTCCAAAATACTAATAAGCCATGGGAGCCCTATCGACTTTGCTATATGCGTATCTTCCAAAAACCTAGCGGCCTGTGCAGTTGACGGTGCCGTAGCACGGAGTCTCTCAATTTCATCCGCCTGCAGCTTTAGAAATGCACTCTGCTCCACTCCTAGATCTTCAAGAATTTTGATCAATTGCGCGTTTAGGAAGAAGGGCAAAGCCTTTAACCCCGATCCGCACAATTCGATATTCAATCCACCAACAGTTTCCGGGACAGGGAATTTAACCATTGATTTTCTGAGCATTAGCGATTTCCCAGTTTTTGTACTGTCGAGGCCGATCATTCCTTTGGCTCCTATAAACCAAGTTTCAGTTAGCATTATGCCTCTATATGCATGGAAGCTAGCAAGAAGAGGCTTCGGAGCTTATAGATGTGTGACACGGAAGGCGGAAATGAGTACCTGCAATCCGGATCTGAAAAACAGTAGGCTTCACCTTCGCCCGCAACGAATGGTCCTTCCATATTTCATACATCAAAAAAGGCGATATTGTGCCAACGCCATCACTAAATATCCGTCCATTGCGTTCAACATCCTCACCCACCGAAAGCATGTCAAAGGATATCGGTATCGAGGTTAGGGTATCTGAAAACGTCTGCCCGATTCTTGCAGCCTGTTTTGCCGGGGAATGGATGTGGTCAAATCTGCCCAGATTCTGAATAATAACCGTGGCGTTATATAGAGTCCCACCCGAAACAAAAGGCGCCACAAACCAGCATGTCTGGGAGCGCAATGACGAGTGAGAAAAGCCAAGAAACTCAAACTTGCGGCCTGCAATAGTGATCCCCTCCTTCAACACGCCTTTGAAGCGGGATTGGAATATCGCATCGACGGATGCACGGGAGTCATATCGGACTGGGTCTCCACTCTCGTCCACAAATTCTACCCGGAGGAAATGGTCGACATTCGCTTCATAGATGCGCAGGACTCGGTTCTTGGTTTCCAGTTGGGGTCCGTAAAGGTAAATGCCGCAGGGAGTGACCTGGGCACGGTGGATGAGGATGTTATTCGGGTGAATTGGGCGATTGGAGCGACTCAGTGCTTTCTCACGGACGACAATTTCAAGAGCATTCGCAAATAATTTCATCAAGGCAACCACGTCAACCTCAGATGCTTGAACATCTGGTGATGACCATTGAATATCCCTCTCTAATTTGTCAAGGGCTTGAACAACAACATCTAGATCTGCGTCGACTAGCTCCTTTTCCACGCGGTATGCAAATGAGATAGCGTTTACAGGAGATATGGCGCCGTTCCATACTAGTTTCTGCAGCTGAAACATGACGCGGTATGGTAAATCGCCCCCGGTCAAGAAGGCCATAAACCTATCCATCAATGTCGAATAGGATACGTCATACTTTGCGCGATGCTCGACCCATCTCGCTATTTCCGGGATATGGCGCTCGTGGGCAAGGTCGCGAACGGCTTTGAGATCTGTGGAATCTTTCAGGAGAAATCTGTAGACGAAGCAAGTGCCCGCAAGAGCAGCATGGTCATCTCTGAAATGACCAACTCTAGTCTTTGGTGGCAGACCTCTCGGCCATTTCTGTTGTAATCCAAGTGATGCTAGCCCAGTTATTACATCTGCGGCCTCCGTCTTGTACAGTCTTGGTGCGGTGTTGGCCGTGATTGTGATGGAAGGCGAGTTCTCCGTGCCAGTGTAGATCGATCCAGGAATATTGGAATAGGTAAACTCCAAATGATAGATGTCCGTCCCTGTTTCCAATGTAACGCGGATAGCCGACTTGCAAAACGCTATCTTGCCAATCTTTCCAGTGCGAAAACATTCAATAAACACCGGGTTCCCCTCATGGTAATCCCACGTGCCGCAGGACATGGTGGTGATGAAGAAAGTCTTGACCCGTTTAACAGGTGCTGTATGACGGGAGTTGCGTGTGTTGCTAAGCACCGTACTACCACGATTGAGACGCGTTTCTTCCTCATTCTTCAATGCGAGAAGCAGAAAATTGTCTGGCGGATTTCGGCTCAATTCCAGGTAAATAATCTGCCCAAACATTCTCAACGGTTTGGTAGCTCTCCGTTTCTTACCAGGCCCAGTGGTCTGGCCATAGACGGCGAGGACTTTTGAGGCCTTAGCCACGTCACTGATAGTGAGCACTGCATTTCGATGTGGGAGTTTGCGACAGTGGAAATAGTGGATGTCGAATTGAGAGAGCACTGGTCTGAATTCCTTCTTCAGGTGGTTGTTCTGGACCTGGTCTGGGATATTTCGACAGAAGATCTCCATCGTGTGGAGAATGTAAAGAGAATTGGTGTAATTAAACCAAGGTGCTCTTTTGAAGTGTATTTATAGTGACTTGCGCGGATTTTTCAAGGGTTGGGTAATCTCTGTTAATGAACAACACGCTTTAGACTACAGTAGGTCAAGATCGTGATTGTGAAGTAAAAGAAAAGAAGAAAAAGTAGCCAAAACCCCACACTACACAAGAAAACAAAGCAGACCATCAGCAGTGATATAGTAACATGCAGGACACAAGTTCTTTGAGGCCTCCAACAGGCATTCCCTGCCGACAGGTTGCTCTCTCACTGCTGCCCAAGGCTGATGCTTCTGCAGCCCTTCACGCCTGAAGAAGGGCCATTATTGGCTAAGGTTAAATTGCCTGAAGAGAGATTGGAAGAAGAGGGATGCGGAAGAGGAGAACAGGCCCTGCGGCCGGGTTTTAAAGCTTTCAGGGGAAGGCTTTGGTTGACCTGTTGAACGTGGAAAAATGGATTTCTAGCAGTTGGAGGAGTAAGTGTCACGTGGAAGAGGCGAAAGTTGCCGGCGGTAAATGAGCAAAAAGGATGGCTGCATGGGTAGCTAATTAGGGGAATACTGGGATGTTGCATTCTTAAATGGGCTTGAGGAGAAGTGATGTATAATCTATGCTTTTTAAGGGGTCTTCATAAGCGGTGGGACGGGAAGAACTTCTCTCAGGGTTAGAATCAGCTATTCGTTATAACTAACTGCAATATCCGTTGCAGACAAACTCAGCTACTCTCCAGTGAGACAGCGGAATCACAACATGACCATCTGTAATGTCATGTCATCTCATTCATTTGACATTTGACGGTAACAATAGCGTTAATAAGAATACCGGTAAACACGTATATCCAGCTGTGGTGTTGAAACGCCCCTCCCTTTAAGCCCTTTCACTTGTATCACACTCCATGGTGACCAATGTTCTCCCCAATATCCACACCCCCCCCCCCCCCCCCCCCCGGCGGCGGCGAACCCAACAGAATTCATCAGTTATCCATGTAGTGTCATGCCGTATGCCACATACCTAATGATGAATAGGTATGAATGTCCAAAAAACCGTATCCTATGCTGTAAAACAAAAATCAAAACCTCAATAATGAAAGAGGCCAACGAGATTGAGAGAAAAGTAACAATACTACTACAATGATGCAAATCCAAACCTAATTCAGACCCTTCCTCTCGCCCTATTTGCTGCTCCGTCCAAGTTTTCGAGCCTGCTTCCTCTTCATCCTGCCCCTCTGGTCAACAGGCATAAGCACACTTTCACTCACGAACGTAGAACGGCCATCCCCCTTCTCAGTCGTAATGTTATAACATCTGCCTCCTACCGCCTCCTTGAAATCGGTAGTATATCCAGGATAGTCCTGAAACATCTCCTGCATCACAGATGTCTTCTTCTTGCAGGTATCAGCATCAACATCAGCAACCCCATCGCCGTCAGGTGAACGGCGGAATATCCCCAGAACCGTATCCAGCTTCGTAACCATCTCATCCCACTCCCCCTCCGGCGTGCTGAGCGCTGTAACCGCGCCTCCAGCTCCAATATGCCATACCTCCTCGTCATCAGTGGCACTGGATTGACTATATGCTGTTCGTATGAGGACGGAAAAGCACGCTGCCCCGCCTGCATCGAAATAGCCCATGACACCAGAGTAGATTCTGCGTTTTTGTCCCTCGATTTTAGCTAGAAGTTCGCACGACTGCCTCTTGGGTGCGCCGGTCATGGAACCGGGGGGCAGGCATTGGCGAAGGGCAGAGTAATCGTGCGGACTGGCCTTTTTTACAAGTTGGACTTCACACCGTTCCTTGAGAGATGGCGGCAGGTCTTCTGGAACGCCTCTGATGTGCGAGACGAGCTGGTAGACCCGAGGGTGATCCTCCACTTCAAGCAGCTTATGAACCGTGACGCCGCCGGATTTGCACACCTTGAACATATCATGCCGTATCAGGTCTGCAATCATCAAGTTCTCACCCATCTCCTTTGGCGTGTTCAGGATTTCTTTTGCTTTCTCGAGCGTCATGCCCTCGCTTTTCTTGACTGTCCCTTTCATGGGCTTCATGTCGATCTGGCCATACCTGTCATATTGAATGAAACATTCCGGGCTGCTGCTGATTATTTTGGTTTTCCCAATTCTAGCGAACGCACCATAGGCGGCCGGGGTGTATTTCCGAAGCCGCTTGTACAAAATCCAGGGACGAAGGTCCGACTCTTGTCTATATTCGCACCGGGGCAGAGTGACTTTTGTCTGGTCAGTCAAACAGAGCTCATACGACTCGCCATCGCGGATGTACTCTTGGCATATTTTTATTTTGGACTTGTAGATGTCCTCGTCCGGTATGACGATGTTGGCTTCACGGACCATCATGTTCGCCAGCTGCTCGTCAGAGTATTTCAAGCGCATGAGGTAGTTCGTCTCCTCTAGGGGTTCTGGGGAGGTGACCGCAATATTAAGCATGATATTGTCCATGGATTTCGTATATGTGAAGCCGGTTAGTCGTCTCGCAACAAAGTCAATCCATTCCCCCGGCTGGTCGTCAAACTCTCGGATGGACTGAATGTGGATTTTTTCAAGTTTCCGATCGATCACAATACTCCGCTCGACCCAGAGTAGACCAACGTCGACCGTATCGTCTTTTTTAATTGCCGGAGCTTCTCCATCATGTAATTCGGAAAGGCCCATTTCATAGGAGAAATAGCCCATAAAGCCACCCCAGAACGGGATGGTCTTATTTCCTTCGACAACCTTCTTTTTGGAGAGAATCCGACGCAACATGTCCCAAACATGCTTTGGCTGCCGTGGAGCTAAATCCTTGGTAGATCTCAACCCGGACGGCCGTGAGATCGTGCTCGTTAGTTTAGAAATCGAGTACTCGAGCGTCCATGCGCCGGGACTGAGAACAGAGATAATGCTGAATCTAGAGGTCGAATCGATAACCACACTTGGTACATTGGGTACATCAACAAGTTCACAAATTTTCTCCGTCGTTAAGCTGCCGCGATTTATGGTACGATACGCTGACACGTCGGTTGACGAGCTGCACCACTCAACAACATCGTCCGCATCATTGAAATAACGTTCCTCTACACGCAAGGGGTCAAAAATATCAAGTCTCCTTCGGGAGATCGTGCGGTGTTTGGCATTGAAATTTTCAGTATATAGCCACCAATTCCTGATTATGTCACGGCAGGCCTTGTCAGATTTGCAAGATTCAGGGTGAAACTGCAGGCCCCAGAGAGGTTTCTTGGAATGGCGAACAGCCATCAGAGTAGCTTCCCCGGGAGTGGCACTGTCGCGATACCACGCGAGAGGTACGAGATCAGGACACTTGGGACTTGACATCCAACATCGCTGGCGATCAGAGAGGTCTCCGGATGACTCAATTTCATGATCTAGGCGCACTTGTAAAGAATGGTACAGCGTAACCTCGAAGCTTGCCGGCAAGGTTTCGAAGATATCTGTTCCGCTATGAACGAAGGTGACCACTCTGCCATGGCGGGGTTCAGGAAGCTTGCAAATGGAGGCTCCATAGTTGACACAGAGGCTCTGAAACCCAAGACAAATACCCAGGACAGGAACGTTTTCCAGGTCCCACACGTGGAGCATACCCCCGACGTCGCTTGGATTTGTTGGAGTGCCCGGTCCCGGACCGGTGATAATAGCATCATATTCATCAGCAAGGGCTTGCTTGTCCACCGGCCATATGGCATCGATGGACACAACAGTGACCGCCACGGGCAATGTGCTTTCGAGTAGATCCACGATGTTACGGGCGAAGGAGTCATGACCATCAATAAATAAAACCTGAGCAATGGAATTCAGGTCGACTGAGCTATCAGACGACATGGTGCCGGTTGAATTGAAAGGGTGAAATGGAGAATAGAGAATGTGACAATGGGCTGTGAAAGAATTGAAGGATTCAACAAATCCCAAGTTTTTTTCCCCCCCCCCCCTCGAAAAAGATTTGACGGTAAAGTAGTTCTTCTCTTTTCAATCAAGAGCGAATAGTAGTAGTCAGGTTCGAGATAGCCCAATTGAGACCTCCGGAATGGCAAAATTGGACGAATGATATTTAAGGCGGTAAAATCGGAAATTCCGAAATACGAATCCCGACCCAACCGTTGCAGAAGCCGTTCGAAGCCACGATTCGGATAAGTTCTACCCAAGAACGTAGCACTCCAATATAATATATATACAGATAGTCTAGAATCGTTGTCTGTAGGAGCAGAAAAGGAGCGGAGCGTGTATATAAAGGGAGCGAAATAGTACGGAGGAAAGCGGAGAGTGTCTGATAGAGTTATCCATACACTCCCTCACGACGTTTGGCGGATAGCTGTCAAACTTTGGCAAGAGGACGGGAAGCCCCAACCGCAAAAAAAATAGCAAAAAAAAAAAAAAAAAAGTGATAAAACAGTATCTGAATTTCAATTGTAAACCCTCCCGCAGCGCTGTCGAGTTGACCGAAGCGAGGGAAGTTGAAGATGAAGGTCAGTCAAGTCATTGTTTGGCCGTGTTGAGGGAAGGAGGAGGAGGAGGAGGAGGAGGAGGAGGAAAAAAAAAAAAAAAGGTTCCCCGACCGGGTGGGTGAAACCTAACTCGCCATGACTAAGGCCAATTACAGTGGTTGACTGGTTAAGCTTTGCGTGAGCTCGGAGAGACGGTAGGGAAAGTATAGACGCCAGGGGCGGGAAACTGTCCCAGAGGAAGGACATGGCGGCTCTTTCGGCAGGATTTGTGTCTGCTCCTCAACATGACACGGAGCTGGAAGTTGAATTAAAGGAGGGCGGTTGGTTTAACTATGGGATAGATGTTAATGTCGTATGTCGGGTCTCATCCGCCGAAATCGAGAAAGCTGCAGGATCTGATTACTTCCTTTGGCCAGAAAAGTGATGGTCACGTGACTTGTCCTAGGTTTGCCCCTGAGGTTGAGCCTTTGCGTTTACCAACCATATATTCTCTATCCGCTTGACATTAGGTTGTGGGAGCCTACTGCAGTTCCCTCTACAGAGTGAAAGTCATTCATCATATCTCGTCATGACCTAACCCAGAATACTCCGTACAAACCCGTTCAACACCCTGGAAGGAAAAAAAGAAAAAGAAAAGAAAAAGAAAAAAAGAAAAAAAAAAAGAAAAGAAAAGAAAAGAAAAAGAAAACATCTGTCACCCATGTGATTTTGGGAAAATGTTTCTTCGAAATATGTCGCAAACAAAATATCCAATCCAGGATATCCATGCTGCTAACTAGAGGGGTGAATTAGGACAGCCGAACGCTATCAGTTCGGGGGAGGAGATGAAAGTCCGGGCGATGGAGTCGACGCCGCCCCTGGCACTGCTGCATACTCAGCCATCTTCCGCGCAACTCTGGGGAAGTACTGGGTAACAAAGCCCTCACTGGTGAACCGGGATGGAATGAGTTAGCAAATGAGACGTAAATAAAAAGAAAAGCAAAACAGGATATACATACGTGTAAAAACTATGGTCCGAGCTATGGTCCGCAACTAAGTTATGCGCCAGCTCATGGCAAAAGATAACCCACCAATACACCAACGGCTCGTCGCGACAATTAACCCCGCCCTGAACCATCTGCGGCTGGTGCAGCTGTTGGAAGTAGAGATAATTGCAAAAGATGCTGCCCTGGCTGTTGAACGCTATAGTCTTGCCGGCCGGATCATAGAAGATGCTAACACTGTTCAGCCGGACGGAAAACACGCTGGCACAATCCGTCAATATCGACGCAAAGGCGTTGAGACTGACTGAATTCTCCAACAAAAACGCGGATCGATCTGCGACAGTTTTCGTGACGAAAATCCGTATGCCAGAGTTGGTGTCTGCGGCGAATACGAGGTCGTGACAGGGCTGTTCGTCGCAGTATGATTTCGTCTCCATTACTTTGTTCCTTTCGCCACGGCTGTAGAGGGTTGATGAGCCGTGCGGTCGGCATGCTTGGATGGCTGACATTAGGTTTGATTGGAGTGCGTGAGGGGAAGTTATGGTTTGGGGTTTGGATTCCCTCGTCGAACCGGCTTCGTTAGCCGTGCAAAATGGCGGAGGAAGGTCGGAAGACGTGGGCAGGGGCAAGGGTTGTTGTGCCCTGTCGCGGATCCCTTGTATGGCAGATTGTATAGCGTTGTTTGATCGCGCGTAATCCTCCAATCCAAAGCGTCGAGTGAGATCAGAGAACAGGCCGCCGCTCTTAGCTCGTGTGGATGCTATTTCCAAAGAGGTTTCATCAGTGCTTGATCTCGTATGAGGAGGGGACAACTCCGGGAAAACTCCCGGCATCGATAGCTGTTTCCCACGATCATCGGGTTCAGATTGCTGCTCCTTTCTCCAAGCAACTTCTTTCTCTTGAATTTGTTTCAACTCCTCTTCTAGCTGTTGCTGACGCTTGCTTTCTGCCATCCTAGCCTCAGCAGCCTTCTGCCGCAAGATACGCTCGACATTGTAGCCTCGGGCACGAAGCTCAAGAAGGTCCGTTTTAAGTAGCATCTCCAGCGTGAGGGTTGAATGCAGCTTCGGTCTGTTGAGAATAAGATGGACGAGCGCCTGGCTAATTTGGTACAAATCCGGAGGGCCAGCACAGATCGACAACACCCAAGAGCCCCGGGATGGCATTACAACTGCGCTTCTCTTTTCAACATGCGACGCATTTCGCCCTTTCAGCAACCGTCTCAGGGAGATAGATTGCACCACTTGAACTGACAAATGCTTCTCCAACCATTTCGTATCGTGCTTAATCATCTCGCGGGGCATGTCATGGAGAAACAATCGCGACCGCTCATAGATTTGTTTTTGCAACTTCGTGGCAAGGCGCTGGTCAAATGCCAAAGCGCCACAACGCGCCTGCTCCTCCACAAGTTCACTCAGGCACGGAGTGCCGAGGGCTACATATAAATCTTCAAGCAACTCCTCTTGAGGAGCAGCCAGAATATTTTGCTTAAACAAACTAAAACTGGCATAGTCGTCGACAATAATAGCATCGCGAGCTTTTGCCAGCTGCCACTCTTTTATGCCTTGCGTTTCATCTTCGTAGGTTTCATCGTCCATCTCGAGCAACTGTTCGTCGGTCTTGGGTGGCGCGGGCTTCGAGGGCAATTCTTTACTCGCAAGAAGAAAGGGTGCAGCTTTCATCTCCTTGAATAAATCCCTGTGCTTCCTCAACTGTGGAATGCTCTCAGCAAGACTACGCAATAGATTGAGGTATTTGTCCGGGTTTTGAAGCTTAGACGATACTCTGGCAGGCTCCTTAACTAACATCTTTGCAACTTCAACCTTGGTCGGTTCTCGTTTTGCGCCGCACGATTCTAGAAACCGATTTGCTTCTTGTCCAAAGTCGACAAAGTCAAAGATATTTCCATAATCCTCACTCTCGCCCAGATAACATTCACGCGGCGTGATATGATCAATTGAAGAAGATTTCTCGGACGAAGAAGCGTTCCGGATAACGGGGACTATACGCGTCTGACCGATGCGTTCTGCAGTCGCCGAATTGATCTCCCCTAGTCGTCTTGCAAAATACTCAAATAAAGTCTGGGCTTCCTTTTTCGATGAAGGAGGTTTCGCAACAAGGAGCTTCAGGCACTCACTGAGAGAAGGGTGCTGACTGACGCCAAACTTCAATGCGTGGGGATGGAGGTCCTTTCTCAGAAGATCAAACCCGAATATAGTAGCTCCATTGTCAGTAAAACAATGACTCGGTGTGCTTAGCTTGTTTTGCCCTTCAATTGGAAGATAAGGTATGTTGACCTTGGACGAGTCAAACTCAGCATATTTAAGTGCGACATGGTTCGTGATAAAATAGGTCATCGCTTTGTCTCTAAGTTTGGTGTTGTCCACTGATGCTGCCCATGCTATAAGCTGTATTAACTCCATTGCCGACGGGAAGCTCTTGAGTCCCAACAAGGTTAAAAACCGTCCTTCCGGGCCCGTCGGGTAATATCTTCCCGGCCAGTAGAGAAGTGGTAATTCAAGGTCCCTAAGTAACTCATCTGGCACGAAAAGGTCGGAAACTTTATATCGAACAGCCTCGGTTTTGGAGCGCGCACTGGCTTCAGCGGTGCATATATTTGCCTGCTTTAGTTTTTGAATGTCTTCCCGCGGGATATCGGATTGAACAGAAGCCAGATACTTGATCAGATCAACATGACTCCATTTCTTCCGGGGAGCCCCTTTCTCGTCGACTGAATCCTCAGAGCTATTCAATAGTCGCTCAAAAATGACATTGAGCTCAACAGTCTTTCGAACGCCAAGGGTAGCAAGGAATTTCTCTTTGACGTTGTTGAGGCCTGTGACAATGGGAAGATCGTCAAATAGCCGGACACTCGGGAAATAAGTCTCAGGAGGTTTTCTCATTCCGGACTTTGTGGGAATGACAGTACTATTCCGCAGCAGTTCAACAATTGTAGTCTTTGTAGGTACACCAAAACTATCCCATTGTTTAGACAGAACGGGCAGTACATGCGCAGCAAACGATGGCGTCTGTGTAATATCCTGTTCAGGAGGAAGTGAACTTCTATTTTTCGCATTCTGCACAAGCCACGTAATCCAGGCATCGATTTGCAGTTCATGCCAGCCCAGGGACTCCAGAGAACTCCTAGACAAATTCTTGGTGTATCTGAAAGGCATGACGAACGGCGGCATTGGCAATTCCACAGGAATCTTATTAGGGTTGATGAAACTGTTTACATCACTGAGAACAATAACGCGGGATGGATTACCGTCGGGCCCTTCGTCATTAGCCACTGCCGCTCGTAGTAACCCTCGAACCACTGAAATATCGATGTCACCAGCAACAGCTTTCTTGGTCACCCATGATAAAAGCTCTTCAAGTTGTTTTGAAGTCAAGGGACTTGACTCCAGTTCCTCCATAATATCCGACACAGTGATGTCAGTAACAAGGCCTAAATCCGTCAAGCGCTTCACAAAGTCTCTGGAGCCAGTCATTAGCTCCTCTGGTATTGCCGGTATAGAGTCCATAAAACTGAGGTCTTTGGGCGCAACTCGCACATTGTGACATGGGAGAATCCCACAAGTCGACAATACCTCAATTGTTGCGTATTTGCTACACGTCCAAAACGAATCTTCAATTGCCTGCCCAACATGCGATATTGGAGTTGATTCACGGAACACAAACTGGTTGACAGTATGTACTGCTTCCGGCAACACTCCCGCAATATCCTCTTTCCGAATCTTTGATCGACCAGGGTTGTTCACTCCGGACTGGATGCGATTGTTAAGCGACAGCATCTCTGCAGAAAAAGCAATCCTACACACTATCCCTGCTGCTCTCAACAGCTCCAGATTCCAGGTGCGAACCCATCGAGCATTTAGATCAATGCTTTCTCTCTCAACGGTTGGGATAACAGATGGCGCAGAGATATGAGCATTTAGGCCTGTAGTCTGGTGTGTTGGAAAGCCAATGAAGATTCTACCAGACCGCGAAGGTAGAACGGAGGCAAAAATATCAGCGTCCTTCGAAACTTCATTCTTCGAAGCTTCCGCTAAATCGTAGGACGACGTTAAAATCGCTAGTGTCGTTGATTTAGGTGGGGGCTTCTTTGTCGCACGCTCAAGTTCATTGCTAAATGATTGGCTAGCGAATGTCTTGATAGTGGCAGTGCTGATGTGAAGGAATACAGACGATGTTTTGGTGATGGCAAGGTCTTCCTTTGCTTTTTGGGGATCTGCTTTATCGGAGTTGGAGGGCTTAGCAGAGTTGCTACTGGAAGAGGAGCCTGTTAAACGGGAGAAGAACGACTTCAACGACGCTGTAGGATCGTGGTGTCGCGAGCTGTCGAAACGGGAGGTGTTGGCGGGGGATTTCCAAGACACTGCCTCCATCAAAGAAGCATCCATCTGGGCAACCTCCCGTATCACATTGGATACTTTCATGAGGCCTTCAGAAGTTCTGGTCTCCACATTTTTAGGTATTTCTATGCTGACACTTGGCGCAACCTTCTTGCGAAGATGGAGGAGTTTCCAACCATCCAGCCAAAGCTCGACAGATTCTAGTCCGACGAACGTTAGGGCACTGGCAAGAAACTGACATAGTGGCATGAGGGCTGGGATTGGAGATGTAGTATTCCGATAATCCAGAACGAAGTTCGTATTTGGGCTGGAATCCGATTCATCTAATTTTAGCCGTCGGGTGAACAAGGCATTCTCCTTCCAATAGAAAGCAATAGCTTCTGAGCCAGATGACACAAAGGGCTCCTCGCAATCGGAAAATACACTGTAAAACCCGACTCCGAATGCTCCTATCTTGGTTTCGTCGGGATTTCCCTCGGCGATCCGCTTGAGCCTAGCCCAGTCATTCGGGGAGAACGGAGTCCCATTGTTTGTGAGTACTAGACGCTTGAGGGTGTGGTGAGCAATCACATGCTTTATAGAAGCTGATGGATCCAGTTGAGTAGGAGCAGGGACACTTGTAGAGGGAAGGGTTTCGAATTTGATAGTGACATTTGTTGCACTGGCGTCAGCTGCGTTCTGAAGGAGCTCTCTAAGTACGGTCCTGCAGGAAGGAGTCCCTTTAGCACAATACATTTCAAGGGAAAGACGCAAGAGTGGTTAGGGAATAGAGATTAGGCCTACCATTCTCCAGAATACCGTGCCAACACCTTATCTATCAAGGCGCGGGTGTTGACAGTCACAGCCTCCTCGTCATTTCCGGAGCCCAAAGTCCGTGCTTTGAGGGCGTTAAAGTCGATGGCGGTCATGACGAACGAGGCCGCGGAATCAGATTATAAATGGCAGAGGAAGTCCTCAAACGTAATCTTTGCATTGGCAAAATCCAGGTACAGCTTAAGGTCGTCTTGGACTTGTGGGTCTGGCAAACAGGGGGTCGGTATAGGCGTTGATATATCCACGGCGGCCGGGCGTAGGTAGTGTAACTAGTAGCTATGGACGAATGACGTTGATGTGCAGATAGGCAACGGGTCGAATTATGGATGACAGGTGCCAGAGAAGAGAAACTCCCGAAATTAAGGTACAATACAAAACCAAAAGAGAACACCTGTATGCGCCGTCTCTGTGTTCGCTTCCAATGGATCTATTGTGCAGAAACAAGTCACAGAAGCTGAAAGATTTAGATGTTGATATAATTAGATGTATTCCCCATATCAATGAGGCTGCGGCATTGGTCTGTACAGCTAGCAGTATATCACGTGGTTGCTTGTACGGTATATCATAATAACATAAGCCGCATCCACTTTAAACCTCCAAAGCGAATCAAAGACAAAAAACGACAGTTAACTCAATGCAATAAGAAACAGTGGATGAGAATAATTAAGAGGTCTTATCTGGCTTCGATATTCTGTTTTATTGCGTATTTCGTCCAGCTGGCGACCCTAGATCCTTCTCTATATTTTCTGTTCATCGCAAATGTCGCCGCGCACCATCTATGACTTGTAGTTAGCTTGGAAGCGGTCTTGTGCGCATCACTGACTGCCCACGCCGCTCTTTATTCCAGATGTCAGCATGGCAGTAGACCCCCTTTCTCCTGTTGCGCCGGCCCGTCTACGTGCTCTGCTCCTCCCTGTTGGAAAGATAAAGAGATCCCGCTTTCTGAGCTTGGTTGAGCGACTCCGGGCACATAATGTCGTGCGTCTGGGCGATGTTAGCCCCGATGCGAATGGCCGCCCGAATAGAAGTATGCGCTGCTGCTATTCAGTTTTTGCTTTTTGGTTGCATTCGTTTGCCCTGATAAAATCTTTGCTAATACTTGCTGCAATGCAGATTCCTTCTCCCCTTTGGCCTTTCCTACGGGAATGATTGTTTACGACCTATCTATATCAGTTCCTCCGATATCACACCTTGACCTTTTCCCCTTTGAAATATTCAGAGAATCCCTTGTCATAATAGCCATTGCAGACGGTATAGAGCTACCTGGCTCAACCGATGGGACGCAGATATCATCACAGGCAACCACTAATGGAACTAAGAAAACTACGTATCCCGAAGTGGAGGGTCTTGACGAGCTCCAGCAGGAGGTACATGCACTCAAGGACAACCATCCCAGATCCCTAGTTCAACAACTATTAATATTCGATTATGGTGGTGTGGAAAAACTGATTACGGGCCCCGAAGCAGTGGTGTGGATTCCACGTCCGGAAGTTGCAACATCAACGACGGTTAAGACGGTGATGTGTGATATAACTTCGCGGATACTTGGAGAACTATCCGGATTCGTAGAACGTATGCAGGAATGGCTTACCGTTGAATCCCCCAAGACGTCTTCTTGGGGCCCACGTCGAACTCCAGAAGCTCATCCAGGGTCCCCTGATAAACTTCAACAGAGAATGACTATGCCCGCACAGCTACCAGGAGCCAATGGAACATTCTCCCATTCCTCTGATGCAAATTCTCAGCCAGCAGAACACGATTCTCCGACCACCTTTGACGAAATCACTAGATCCATCCAACTTTCCAACCGGATATCTTCATCTATCAAGACAGCTTCGAAGCCCGGTTCAAAGGAACACAGCCGTGAGAGAATGTCAGTCCAAGGGATTGGGTTCATGGGCGCAAATGAGAGAACCAAAACTCGATTGAAAGGCCGTTTAAGCATAGCAGTGGGCACATTGTTTCTCCAGGCTGGTCTATGGCCTGATTCCCTGAAGGAGCTTGTTGAGGGCGCATCAATAGCGAGAGCAGGTAGCGATTACATTTGGCATGCAAAAGCCCTCGAGTCGATTTTACAGTGTCTGCTCATGCTTGGATGGGCAGGGATGGATTTCAAGGTATGATAAATATTTTCAGACAGAAGTCTCCGGGAATCTATGCCGGTAGGCCAGCGACAATATCGACTAACAGAGTGTTAAAAATTTGCAGATACCCCAAATTTGCTATCCAACTGCTGATAAACTCTTATTAAAATCTGCTTCTCAAACACCTACGATGAGTCAAACAGAACTTTACAGCATCGGACAATCAAATCCCGAAAACCGCGTAGTTTCACTCCAGAATCTGGCAAATCTTCTTCCCGATCTGTCAAATAACATCCTACATCTCTACACAAGAGCAGCAAACATTACAGACGAGCCAGCACCACAACTTGTATTTTCGGAAACCGTGATAAGGCTCGCCCGTGTTCTCGCTGCCACTTACCTTCGTGACGGTTCACTTGACGACAACGCTCTGGGGAATATTGTAATGAACGACCCCTTACAATTTGTCCGCTCTCCAGAACGCCCCCGAGGTTCCCTTTCACTTAGCAAAACGGATATAGCAAGCTTTCTATTCCGAGCTTTACCCCCATCTCTAGGTTCCGATCTTCCCGTTACCGATTCCTCCCCAATTTTAGTTGGCATGGCGTCCACTCTATGGACGCTGGGGTTAGACCGGAAAAAGGCGTTCGTACTAAACCAACTGTTTTCTGTTCTAATTCCAGGGTTGGTGCAAGCTCGGAAAATTGGCGCTGCGGAAGTTGGTATTCACCCCGCTGCTAGCTTATCAGCTTTGAACTACGCCTCTTTCGACATAAATGCATTGGATGTTGTGCCAGGAGATATGAATGGGAGCCTGAGGCAATTATTGGCTTATGTTGGGAAAATATACGGTGTCCCAAGTACAACTGTCTTCGCTGACGAAAGGGATGTTTCAAAGCGTTGCTCAGCGGATAGCTGTGAGAGTGTAGCGGACTATGATTCCGTCGGTTCAATAGTTAACAGGGCGTTACGCCATTCAACAATTGATGGGTTCGGCAATCATGCGCTGAAAGTCGACATACTGAAGGCGTGCATTAATTTCTGCGAAGCGCTTTCTGACTTTAAAGGCGTACTTCAGTTTACAGTCGACTTGCTTCAAACAATCAAAGGGACACATATGCTTGTTCCAGACAGTTATCACGGAGTTCCGAGCTTACCTCCTGAAGAACAAGTGCGGTTATTTAACAACGTCAAGCGAACTGTTGCAGCTGCAAGAAAACTTGGGATTCCGAATTTAGAAGCCGAATATTGGGATGATTTCTTAGTGCGCGGTGTGGAACTTGTCAATCTAGCTGACTTCAAGGAACCTGTCAGACGATCGAGAACCGATTTCGGTTTTTCTAATATAGAGGAGAGCCGCGCAGAAAAAAATCCGTTTATATATAGCGCATTCTCAAAGACAACGACAAGACGTTCAGAATGTTTGTTGATTGCTGAAGAGCCAGCCACGTTCAAAGTCACTCTCCAAAACCCTTTCGAATTTGATGTGGAAATTGAAAGTTTACGGATAGAGGGGACTGGTGTTTCCTTCGAAACAGATACCAAGGGGCTCTGGCTTGCACCATTTACTATTCAGGAACATTGCTTTTCCGGTGTTGCAACCACAGAAGGGACGCTTGAGGTTGCGGCATGTTCAGTGAAGGTAAAATTCTGTCGGGAAAGGAGGTTTCCTATCTTTAAAAAATTCTGGAAACCAGGGTTTGAAACCAAGGCCAAACGAACGGGTCTAGCGGCAGTGGAGCCATTTTTTGAGCGACCGTTATCCTGGAGCTCAAATGCCTCAGGGACGGGCTCAGAGGTAATCCCGAAATGTCTTGAGCCAGATGTTATGGTTGCCAAGGTTATCAAGAAACAGCCAACATTGATCATCCAATCGACATCGCTTTCACAATCAGCGATCATGGTTCTAGAGGGCGAGACTAAATCGTTCGATATCACGCTCCAAAACGTGTCGACTTGCCCAGTGGATTTTATTTCGTTTCGCTTTGAAGACTCCACATCCCGACAATTCCAATCAGCGCTTAACAACAAAGACAACCTCCCCGCTGATATATTCGAGTTAGAGTTAAAGCTCTCTACGAACCCAACATTGACATGGAGGCGGGATGAGCTCAACCAAAGTGAGCTCTCGATCGCTCCGGGGAAAACCGCAACGTTCACAGTTGATGTATTTGGGAAGGCAGGACTACAGGATGCCGTGGTACAAATCGACTATGCGCACGTTTGCGCTTCTCCATCAAATCTCCCCGAGACATTTTACTGCAGGCAAATTTCCTTGCCCTTGACCGTGACAGTCAATGCAAGTGTGGATATTGTACGGTGTGACCTACTTCCATTCACCGGAGATTTCGCATGGAACAATAAACTGCAGCAAGAAAAAGATTCGGGCGGCACAAACAGTGATGAGAAATCAATTAAATCAGTTGAACAAACATCGTCACCATTAACACCACGATCCATTTCGCAGTGTAAGGATGCCCAGTTTTCGCGGACATTATCACAGCTTCGCTTAGCATCACAGAGTTCGGATCATTGCCTCTTACTTATGGATTTACGCAATGCGTGGCCAAATCCCCTATCCGTCTCTTTATACGTAAAGGAAAGCATCTCAGACAGCGAAACCAATAACATTTTGGAAACCGGCGCAATCGGCATCCACGAAATATGTGATGAACTCCAGCCCGGCCATCTGTCCCGATTCGTCCTTGTCGTGCCGCGCATCCACATAGTGAACCCGCAAAAACCCATCCCATCGCTCAACATAGGCAACAAACGGCAGTTTGTTGTCAGTGCAAATAAATTCAGCTACGAGGTTGAATCTTCTGCCAGGGAAGTCTTCTGGTTTCGGGAGGAACTTCTCAAGCGCCTTCGTGGGTCATGGACAGAGTTAGCAACAGGTCGCGAAGGCACTATTGACCTGCGGGGAATACGGCTGAATGCACGGATGCTTGATGCTCTCCGGATTGATAATGTCGATGTCACTTTCTCCCTCCGTCCGTATGCGTCGGGGGCCAGTTCGTGTCCTAGTAGCGATCATACCAATGGCAGTGACAATGACAGCCCCGTCGCTCAAACAGGCAAATCCAAATTCGTCGTTAAAACCAATACCTTCCTTACCCTCTCCGCAACGGTCATAAACCGATCATCGAAAACCATTCATCCGCTCCTCCGTCTTCAACCCAGCCTGCGCCATCTGCCCCATGCCATCGCCCTGGACCTATCCAAGCGTCTAGCTTGGTCGGGAATGCTCCATCGTCCTCTCCCAGTTCTCGAACCGCACAAGACGACGGAGGTAACACTAGGCATCACGGCGCTGTGTCGCGGCGAATATGAAATTTCAGCCAGCGTTGAGGAGGTACGACTTTTGAAACCGTATGCTCCGGTATCGGAAATGGGGGCTGTGTCACTGACAGCGGAGGGGACAGATATGTCGGAGGAGGGTTCCGGGGCTGGTGCTGATGAGCATCTTCATTTTGACAGTGTGTTTATTGCCAATGCACCTAAGCAACGACGAATATGGCATTCACGGGTGCCTTGTATGATATCGGCTCGCGACTGATAATATATCATTGTATCTGTTGGCCACTTTTGTGATTCATCTTGGGGGAAGGAGGGCCTCAGTGTTTTTCCCGTTCCCTTTTTATTTTTTAAATACCTATATATATATATCCCATGCTTCTGGTCCCATCACGCTTCATATATCACGCTTCATGCTTATGTTTTATTTTCCATCTTTTGTTTCTTATCGTCAAATCCAGTGATTCTATACAATGCGTTGTTACAATTACCCTGCAAACGAATTCCCTTTTGTCTTCGATCCTCTCAAGCCACGACGTGCCGCGCATCGTACATGCATCGTCTCTTTCCTTTGTATTTGGATCAAGGGTTACAATTGGATAATCGAAATGCAATTTTTAATGATGGTGATGATGATTATGATGCACGAGAACAACGGCGGATGACAAGCAGGGGATATGAGACGAATTGGACCATGAATTTTCCATGTCGAATTTTCACACCATTTCATATCCCCTCCTTTTCTTCGATTTATTCCCCTTTTCCATTCACTGTTTTTTTTTTTTTTTTTTTTTTTTTTTTTTTTTTTTTTTTTCCTTCCTTCCCCTCTCCTTTCTTGCAGGGGCCTATTTCTTCTGGTGTGCTTTCAGACAGCTCTTTCAATTTGATTGTTCAATGTATCATTTTCGCCGCGCATAGATATACATCCTATCTTCCCATTAAGCGAGTGGGCAAACAGAAGACACCTTCTTTATGTTCTATTCTCCATCACCCTCCCATTTATATTCATTTCATGCGCAGGACTTTATGTCGTGCGAACACGACTCGATCCGTATTCACCACCAAATACAGTATAACTATGGATCTACTATTTGACCATCACCTAAATTCTCTTCTCCTCGGACCACCAACCCCAAATATGAATCGAAAACCCAAAACTCAAGCCCAAAGCTCAAGCCAAGGTTCATTTTTCCTTCACCACTCCAAAACACCCACATCCTAGAATATTCCCGATGATCTGGTCGGGCACAAATGAAATCTCCTCCCAGATCTATCTTACTATTTAGCACGGGAAATCTGGCAAATGATACCACGTCTGGCAATTCTGTCACTGCGCATAGTTGCATATGTCGGGTGACTCTTTGCTGCTCCACAGGCAAATCATCGTCATATCAAGCTTTCCAGCCGGCAGCTAGCTGCGTCCCAGGCAGCGATCATGTCCGCCAATGCCGCAAATACGAAAGTAATCGTTCTCTGAGACAGGAAGTCGGCACTAGCATGGCCAACGACCCGAAAATAAGAGGACAGACAAAGTATTTTGTTTCCGCCCCATGATAATTTACGATCATAGCGGCATCACGTGATGCATTTCCGGAGTCTACAATTCCCGTCTCCGGGTTGTCTCTTCGCTTTTTATTTCACAAGGCTATTAGGTTAAGTTCCCTCCCCGCATTTTGGTCGCATCTATTAGATGCCACTTTTCTGATACTGTATTAATGCATTTTAAATCAATAGCATCTCTTCTCGAATCCCCTGCGTAGGCAGTCCGCGTTTAGATTTGTATTGCAGTGGGAAAATCTAGGGAAAAGCCGACTCCAGAATTCCCTCCGCCCAACATATAACTATATCTCCCCGCTGCCAAATGGGCTATCTCTCCGCCATCCTCCCGAGCGGAAAAGTCTTCTTCCACCATGCCCCTAAAGCCCTCCACTTAGCTCGCAAATCCTCGATCTCTCTGCCCACCTCTGTAGCATCACCAAGAGAACAAGCTGAAGAGGAACAATACATTTCCCTTCCAGACTTGTGTAAATCCTCCACACCCCAGAAATGCCAACTAAACCCTCTTCTGTTCAACGGCCACCTCCAAACCACATACACAGCCATAAAAAATGACGATGTTCCCATTTACTACAAGCGCTGGACCTTCCAGGCCAATGACCCGGCTTATAGTGGCAGCTTCGACGTTGACTTCGTCATTCCGCCCTACGAAACCCCGCTGGAGGAGGATACAAGCTCCGGTACACAGGCGACAATTAACAAGACGCCAAAGGATAGTATGCCGCCGCCCCACCTCCTCCCACCCCGCACGTCATTCTTCACACCGGAAGAATTCGCCGCCTATCCGTCTGCCACAGACACGAAACCCATGCTTGTCGTCCTGCACGGGCTGTCAGGGGGTTCCCATGAGATCTACCTGCGGCATGTGATTGCTCCGCTGCTGGAGGCCGGGTGGGCAGCCTGCGTGTTGAATTTCCGCGGCTGTGCCAAGTCGCGAGTGACGAGCCCGATGCTATATAATGCCCGCGCGACGTGGGATGTTAGGCAGATTGTGGATTGGGTGAGGGAAGCGTTTCCAAAGCGGAGGTTGTTTGGGATTGGGTTTTCGTTGGGGGCGAATATCTTGACAAATGTAAGTTTTTTTCTTTCTTGCAAAATGTCTCCCGGTTTGGGGGAATGGAGGTTAGTATGGGAGAGTGAGTTTAGAATTAGATTTATTCTGACATTTTATTTCTCCTCTGTAGTATCTCGGTGAAGAGGGTGCATCCTGTCCCCTCTCAGCTGGCGTCATCTGCTCCAACCCGTGGAATCTGGAAGTCAGCGCGTTGGCGCTCCAACGCTCTTGGCTTGGATTGGAACTGTATTCGAAGACTATGGGAAGTAATATGAAGAAGCTTTTTGAGCAGTGAGTTTATCATCTTTCTTGATATCGTACCTAATGGGTGGTGACACCAAAGTGGCACACACCATAGAAAGACAAAAGGAAGAAGAGACTAACGGCGCCGACTTGAATGATAGACATGTCGATATAGTCTCCAAGCATCCACGTGTTGATGTCGAGCGGATCCGAAAGATTAAGTATCTTCATGAGTTCGACAGGTCTGTGGATATCCCAAACCCCCATCCCCCCTTTTATGTCTTTCAATTTCTGTAACATCGGATATAGAGAGCGAGTCAACAAGCCAGAAGAACTAATACTAATATTTCCAACAGAGAACTCCAGGGACCCGTCTGGGGCTATCCAACAGAATCTGCCTACTATCGCGATGCCTCCTCCATCGATTCTATCTTCGCCATAAGAGTCCCTTTTTTCGTGATCCATGCTGAAGATGACCCTGTAAGTTAAAAACATGATCTCGTCTTGTATGTGTATACATGCCCATACTCACACAGATATAGATCTCCGTCAAAGAAGCCCTGCCATACAACGAAATCAAACAAACGCCATACGGCGTAATGTGCACGACATCCTGGGGCGGACATCTCTCCTGGTTCGAGTTTGGCGGGACGAGGTGGTTTACGAAGCCTGTATGCATCCATGAATATATCTATTCCCAATTGAACCTCCTTTTGTTTTGTGCTCGTGCTCCGAGGAACTGATAACATCCACAAATAACCCAACTCTAACAAAGAAGTCTTTTTTTCTAGGTAACAGCATTCTTAACCAAAATGGCCACGGAGGTCGATCTTGATGCACCTTTCAAGGTAGAAAGGGATGACAGGGAGGGTCAGGAAGAGGTAGCCTCACACATCGGATATACGCCGAATTTCGTGCCTATGCGACGGAAATTGGTGATGCCGATTAATCATCAGTGTTCGAGTTCTGGGAAGAGTTCGGCGATTGAGGTTAGGAATTAATTATGTTATGTATTGGCTCCGTTTCGGGATTGTATAGGTAAGTCGAAAAATTGGGATTCTTGTTCTTTTGTGCTGGGCTGGTTTGGTCTGTGCAGGCTCCATTATCCATGCTATGGTTATTTCTTGCGAGCATTCATGGTTTACGGTTTGGTTCGATGCATATGAATGGATGGTTTGTAAATATATTGTATTTAGATAGATTGGCTTCGCAGGGCCATATGACATTTTAATTCCGCGGTATACGGTATATATATATAGGCACTTATAGGTCAAAAGAAACATTGAATTTTAGAAATAATTACCCCCTACCTACTATGTGAGATATATATGCAGTGTATAATGGAAATGCTAATGGAGAAAATCGTGCAATTTTTCATTTTATTTATACCGCTAACTACGGTAGGCAAAAAACCCCTAATAACCATGCCCAACAGGTGAACGAAAAAGGAATAGACATGTATGTACGTGCAGCACATATCAAATAGAATATCGTGCACTTTAAAATCCCACTCCAAGGTGCCCCGTAATCGCCCAATTAAGAAAGGGAAAAAGATATCATGCATGATTAGTATAAGCCCTTCAATAAATCATTCTCCCTATTCACTCCACAACACCCATGCACGGAAAAGAGCTTGTCTTGCCTCAAATCCGAATCGATAAGCGATACCATAAACTATGCAAAAGCTACCCGTTTCCGGTTCGCTTTTGCCCCCGTTATGGACGATCCTGACCTCTCAGCATCTCCCAATGACGATGATTTCTTCCCATCCTTCCTATCCTCTCTGTTCCCATCAGTGTTATGCCGCTTCTTCTTACGAAGCGAGTCTTTCACAGTTTCCTATTGGAGATTGTCAGAACTTTTACACTGGACGGGAATGATAGCCAACAAACAAACAAAAAAGAAAAAAGGAAAAAAAAAAAAAGAAAGAAAGAAAGAAAGAAAGAAAGAAAACATAGAATAAAGATTAAAGGAGGATAACGTGCCAGCTTCTCCTTCTTCGCCGCCTGCCTCGCTTCCGCCTCCTTCCTCCTCGCCTCGCGAATCTCCTCCAGCTGTCTCGCTTTCATCATCTTCGACTCAATCTGACCCTCCTTCTCCGCATTCACCATAGCGAGAAGAGTCATCATGCTCTCCTATACACGCATTAGCTCATTTCGAATTCTCATCCACAACTACACCACATCCAGATATAAAGCATACCTGATCATCCACAAAAAACTTCCCCTTCTTCACACCTTTCGGCTTCGTCACACCCACGGGGGTAATCATATTCAATTGCGGCAGATCCAGTTCCTTCTCAGTATATATCCTCTTCTTTTTCTTTTTCAGATTCTCCGGCGCCGTGCGGGGTTTGACTTTCACCTCCTTGGGCGAGGGACCGTTGGCAGAGGATTTGGATTTGGGTTTAGACACGCGAGAGCTGGAGGAGAGGGTTTTTGAATTGGATTTGGATTTGGAGGCGGAAGAGGATTTATTTGAGGATTTGGATGAGGAGCCTCTGTTTGGTGCCATTGTAAAGAGTATGAGTTATGTGGTGGGTAACTATATAGGAGGGGAAAGGAGGAGAGGGGAGTGCGGAGAATTGTGAATTGGCTGGGGGCGGAGGTGGATTATGGAGGGGATATCAAAAAGGGGTTATCTATGAGACACAAACACTGTGTATTTCATGAATCCATAAAATATATCCATATCCTTGAAATCGAGTTAAATTATAATACACATAGATTCAAAATGTTCTGTTATCCAATCCTCAAGTTTTGATGGGGAGGTGAAAATCCAGCGGCAATATTCTTTTCGGAAAGGCGGTGAGACTCTCACCTTCATAATGCTGCAAGAACGCAACCTCATCCATCGTATTAACTCCACAGGCTATGCTGGATGCTGTGACGAATTCACCACATCCATCGCACCCGCGATCCTCCTACGGCTCACATTAATATACCATGGTGCTCAATCCCACCTACCTAGCGCAGCGGACGCGATCCTGTATGTTTATACCTATTCCCCGCGCTATCCTCGAGCAGGCACATCGCTCCACAACGTCCCTTATTGTGTTGCATAATCCCGCTAACGAAGAGGGAAATAGCTGTCAATTGGCAAGATGCAAGACGAAGGGTTTTAAAATCTTACCGGGAATGGCTGCGGGCGGTTAGTGCAAGATTCCTTTTGGCGGAGAGTGGTGGTTTTCCGACACATCGATCCGAATAAACGTCACCCATCAGAGATATCCGATGCAATTCCTACAACCACTACAAATTGAAACAGCTTGGACTGTGTGATATGACGCGCGAATTGCTAATGTAATCCCACTTCGTTTCTAGTCACCTGAAATCCAAAACATGTACTCCCTCAGCCTCCCCGTCTCCGCCATCCGTACGAAGATCCGCCAGGAGTTCGAACGTCACCGATACGTGAACCAATTACCCGTCGTTGATGTATTATTGTTCCAGAGCCACAGCGAATACCAGGTACGTTTGGAGGTGTTTTTGTATTTAAATGGGATGTTCGCAAGGGACACGGGTGTGGATTATGATTATGACACCCGGGAAATCGGCTAGATCAGCATTCTAGGCCGCAGTCACTCTCTTGTATATTGTATTACACATCACTAACACTTAAGTTCCGCTCCTGGGCGAGGAATGTATTATAGGAAATGTTGAACTACTGGAAGCAACTCTCACACGTCATGAAATATTTCCGCGTTGAAGAAGATCCCACTGCAAAACTGCCAAAGAACTTCATGTCTAGGTTCCTGGAGGTGAGTCATTTTGAGAGACATACCGTTCGTATGAATCGGTACCCTTCACTAACAAGACCTCTCTTGTATCGAAATTTAGGGCCGGAATTAACTGGTGTATTTTCCTCTTTCGTTTCCAGTGTTGTTTTTCCATCTTCATGGAGAATTCAATAGATATCTGTACATACGTTCCTGAGCTTAGCAAATGAAACTTGTTCTTTTCTTGATAAATGTGGAACCGTGGTCTGTGGTTATATCCTCGTCCCGTGCAACGCTTATCATGGATATGTTTGGTTCCACGATGCCTGCATGATACTCGGCCCGTCTTGTTATCCTGGAAGCCTATCGACAGGTACGTACGAATTAAGACGCTGAGTTTAACATATGGATATGCCATCTATTTTTTCCAGACCAATTTAACTGGAAAGAACAAAAGACCCCCAGAACAGACCAAAAAAACTCCGTACACCTTATACCCTGTGTTGATGGCCGAAAAGATTATGAAAATCAGACAGTTTGTGTTCCCTTTCACTCTCTTTTCTCTATATACAAACAACAAAGGGGAAAGACCTAAAAGAATCAACAATCACCAATTGTCAATCATTAACCCTTGCTACCATCAAAAGCATTTTTGGCCTCCGTGAAAGTCTCTGTCACTACGTCACACAGATCCATCAGGTCGTCGAATCCCTTTTCTAGAACAGCAATGGCAGTTGTTGTTTCTGTTTTTGCATGTTAGGACTGTATCAGGGAAGATCTGGCGCGTTTACGGTATATCGGTTTAATGGCTTAGAATCATGGGATGAAAAAGAGGGAGGATGGGATGGAATGGGTTTGCACGTACCATACGTTTGAATGCGTAGATTCATTTTAGCTTCTGATGGATGTGGCATTGTGTAGCCGCAGAATTCAACTTCGGGACTGCGGATGATGGATGAATATGTTAGAAATTTGGGGCTATAACAGTTCACAAATGTGAAAATGCATGAAGAATGTGTTATTGCAGTGGACAATGATAGCTTGACTCAAGAAGTTGTTGACAATGAACTTCCAGTCAAGGAACTGGCAAACCACATGTTATACGCAGTCGACAGCTTGAGGTTGCATGTTCATTGAGAGGATGGAATTCGACGAAGGGCCCCTACATCTTCCTAATGACATATGTTATGTGATTAAAAATAGAAATACTCACTTTTTCATGATCACATATCTCAATGCGTTTCCAAGGGTGTGATCTTCCCTGTCAAATTGAAATGATACAGCCGTTTCAGTGGCTCCGGGTAGCTATAGAGGGTGTTAGCAATACCACTTACAAAAAGAAAAGAGTATCTGTCGTAGATGGGATACAAAACAGAGGACATTAACAGTGGAGAGAACGGATCCAATAGCCGCGAAAAGACGATGACCTAAGACCAGGAAGGAAACCTCATGAAGGAAAATATCAAAGGCCCTAAAACCCAGGAGAACTCGCGAAATCGGAACCCAACGATACGGAGAAAAGACGGTAACATGAAAACATTACTCACAATGGTTATTCTCCGTCCATCCACCTCGAACTCATCTGCGTCATACCCTGCAGGGTCTTCATACTCACGCTCCTGCTCTCCTTGAGACTGTAGGCCCGCATCTGGCATGGATTCATCTTGTGAGTGCGTAGAGGCTGGCATAATAACAGTTTACCCGACAAGAATTATGACCCCGATAAATGGAATCTAAGGGCTTACTCCCTTACTCCTTGTCTGGCTCTCTTCAAACCTAAGATCGTGATAGGTTGCCGGCGTGTTGGTTTTTGGAGACAGTCTTCACACGTCCTAATCTGGACAAAACTTCGACTCCTCAAAACACATCAGACTGAATAAACAAGGCTGGCTGCCCGGGCTGCGAAGGTGTGGTGTAGAAATGATATATATCAACTTATCCAGAATTTTTTTTTCTCCCGCTGTAGGTGCTTGAGATGTGGAGAATTAGGCTTTGTCGACCATTCCCGGTTTGGGCTAGTTAGCGCAAAGCTTCCGCGCTTATCTTGACATCGCTTGGAGAGCCCGTCTCTATAGAGAGTGGCATCGTAGAGCCGCTGCTTATTACAAGCCCCATGCTTAATATTATTACTTCGGGCAAATTATAGCCCGGAAACAAACAAAAGCAATTGGACAGACATATATACATATATATTACAGAGAACATGGCATTTTACGACGGCCACGACGAAGAAGAGATCCATCGCGTTTTCCGCCCATAGCCCTTTCTACGGTCCCATATTCCCCTACTTCCCAGGGCAGCTGGTTGCATACAACGAACAAATGGAATGCTTCCAATTACAGGGCAGCGTCCCAGCCATATCGGAAACTCCAAAGCTTGCAAATTCCACTCTTGTCACTTACATTCACGGTGCATGCCACAACGATGGTCGACAGAGCGCCCGGGCAGCCTCGGCTCCCATTCACGATATAATGATTCCGGACTTGTCCACCCGACTGTAGTGCAGACCAAGACTCGCGCAGACATCTAGGCCCTCTCCAAAGCGATGGAAATAGTGAAGAGCACAACCCGAGAAAATATTAGTGTGCAGCATGGGAAGTTCGCGACCCATTCCGACTTCCTGGTCAATGCGTTTTAGTGTTTCGATAAGGAGAAGGCAGCATAACGGAAGCTTGACCCTAAGGGCGAAGGCCGCATGCTCTTCCAGCTCCTGAAACATCTGAGCGATGAGATGGATGATTTGGAATACAGCAGCGATGGAAGTCTCAATTGTCAGATGTGGCATGTTCCGCCACACCAGGCTATAGAGGCGATTGAACTTGCGGACTTGGCTTTGAATGGGGCTTGAACCACCCCCCGGTGGAGAAAACCGGGGTCTGGTTATTGTTCCCCTTACTTCGATAACCAAACAGTAATAATTCAAGGGATTTCATATATATCTTCATTCAAAGAATCCACCTATCGGGACGAACAAAATGATCTAGCAATCAATCCCGAAAGTGAGGATATTTTGGCTGCAGCCAAAATTTAATCTGGGTTGTTTAAAGACCATTCGCCGTCCCTTGTCGATTGAGTTTGATTATCCCTTTCTCCGAGACTAGAATCAGTGGCTATGCTATGTAAGGAATCCATGCAAACGAGGTGACAATGCAGACTTCCTTTCGTTTTGATCAAGGTCGAGGATTCTTCGGGATTTTGGAGCGCCCTAGCTCGCGTTTCTAGAACCTCTATTTCTATTGAACTACTTCGGATTTTTTTTCTTTTTTTTTTTTTTTCTTTTTTTTTTCGTTTTCAGAACCGACCAATGTTGTTAAGTTATTTTGATATCCGATACTCATGGAGGTGAAAACATGTTCGCTCAATATCACAGCAATGATAAAATACCTTTGCCATATTCCTGCTTCATAAAGGGTCATTTCTAATTTCATAATTTCCAGAGGTGTATGAACATGTATTGAATTCCAAAAATCATCACAAACTCCAACACCTAATTGCAATTGCTCCATGTCTAATGTAACCGCCAGTTGATACGTTAATCATCACGCCATTTAACAAAAACATCGTCGGTTCTGAACCTTTGCGTACAGGTTGCATCCTCCAGCTTCGTTCGAAATCCGGTTTTATACGCCAACAAACCAGCCTGTGCAATCATAATGCCGTTGTCAATGCAGAATCGCTCATCTGTCGCATACACACTTCCGCCACGATCTCGGGCCATGATTCCCATCATTTCCTGCAAGCGTTCATTACAGCCCACGCCTCCCACGATCAGCACCTCTTTCGACCCAACATGCGCCATGGCCCGTTCCGTAATTTCAACAAGCATAGCAAACACGGTTTCCTGAAGCGAAAAGCAGAGGTCTGCACGGGTAGGCAGGTCGTCATTTGTGACGTCATCCATGGTTTTGATTGCTTTCTCAGCCGCATCCCTATTAGCCTGGTCCTCCCCACCAAGTCCCAAGGATGCTGCTAATGCATCTACGGACGCTAATATCCCGGAGAAAGAGCAATCCATCCCTTTAACTGCATATGGAAGATCGACCAATTTTCTCCCTTTCTTTGCCAACTGTTCAATATTGTAGCCAGGAGCTGGATCATTAGAGATATGGAGAGTACGAGCAAACCGATCAAGGCAATTCCCAACCGCAATGTCAAGTGTTTCGCCGAATATTCGATATCGTTGTGAACTATATGCAATAACTTGGGTATTTCCGCCTGATACGTAGAGGACGATAGGATTGGGTGCCCCAGTGATATAGCGCCCCATTTCAATATCTGTTATCTTGTTAGCCAGGTTACAATAGCTAAGGAATGGGTATAATAAGAACGATTGAAGGTGTTTTTCAAGTCAATTTTAAAATACAAGGGGTTGAGTTGTCAAAAGGCCAAGAAATTGAAGTGCATAAGAAGCGCATGGACACATAAACAGCAGAAAACATACGTCCAACACAGTGATTAACTCCAACCAACTCTTTCCCCCATAATAGGCTCAGCATCCTCGCTGCGATAGCCACACTCTGCAAAGGTGCCCCCATTCCTGGACCCTTCGTGTAACAGATACAGTCCACATCACTAACTGTAACCCCAGCTTCCTTTAAGGCGCGTTTCACGAGGTTAACGACCCATGCACGATGGTGTTTCGCCGTATCCTTTGGCAGAAACCCTTCACCCGGCGGGGAAACATAGGTGTGGCGGACGTTTGAGAGAACCTGCGGGGAGCTACCGTCATCGGGATGGAGAATGAGGCCAACTCCCAACTTATTTGCGGAGCCCTCTAGGCCTATGGCAATCATATTGGCAGACTGAAGTTCATCTAAAATCAGATATCATCAACAAGCATGGCAACCATTACCATTACTGTTACCGTTACCATGTGATTGCGATTCGATTAATGTGGAGAGTTGTGAGCTGTGTTTTCCCAAGGTTCATGACTGACGGAGACGCAGAGTGTGGGTTGACTTTGATATCACGTGGACCACCTCTCGGAGACCAAGCGGAATAATGTGTGGGAGTTTATCCGAATCACGGGCTAACTACGCTTTTTGGAGTAGTGGAGATTCTTCGAACATCGGCGTTGTGGCACAGTACGTGTTGTTCTTGTTGTTCATTCTGTTCATTCTATTTACATGCTTCTGTTCACCGGTCTCGGCGTCTTATTTAGTATAAATAACTACAGTCTTTTCCGTCTGCTATTTTTAACCCCTGGAATTTCATCGTAATGTCGAACCTTAACCATTGTGAGGACGCCCAGTCTTTCTCGCAGGTTTCTGAGGAGTTTTTGGACTGGCTGAAGCAGTCCCCTGGAGTGAGAGTGAACCCAAAGATTAAGATTGCAGATCTTAGATCGGAAGGTGCTGGAAGAGGCATTGGTATGTCTGTGCCATATCAGTTGACTTGCTCATCCCTCCATCGTTTCCTAGGGTTTTCTAATGTTTTGGGTTCATAGTGGCCTATGACGATATCAATAAAGAGGAGGAGCTTTTTGCCATACCGCAGGGCCTTGTGCTTAGTTTCCAGAACTCGAAACTGAAAGATCTTATGGAGATAAATGAGCGTGATTTGGGTCAGTGGCTTTGTCTCATTCTTGTGATGATATATGAGTATCTTCAAGGTGTGGCTTCGCCATGGGCGCCATATTTCAAAGTCCTACCCACAGATTTCGATACCTTGATGTTCTGGACAGACGCAGAGCTTCTGGAACTGAAGGGAAGTGCCGTTTTGGGTAGGATCGGGAAATCTGCCGCAGAAGAAGTTTTCCTTAGAGATCTTCTTCCCCTCGTCTCCAAAAACTCTGAGCTGTTTCCACTCACTAGTGGCCTGCTGTCTTACAACTCACCCGATGGGAAAGCTGCACTCCTGTCTCTTGCTCATCGGATGGGTTCTTTGATCATGTCTTATGCCTTTGACGTCAAAAATGACGAAGCTGAAGAAGTGGAGGGGGAGGGTGGTTATGTGACAGATGACGAGGAGCGGCAGCTACCCAAAGGAATGATTCCCTTGGCAGACCTCTTGAATGCGGATGCAGATAGAAATAACGTGAGTAATCCACATTTTTGAAGCATCGCGCATCCAATACAGATGCTAACTATCCGTCAGGCATGTCTATTTCAAGAAGATGGCTATCTTGCTATGAAATCCATAAAATCCATCCGAAAAGGGGAAGAAATATTCAACGATTACGGCGAATTACCTCGCGCAGAACTTCTGAGACGATATGGGTATGTTACTGACAATTACGCTCAATACGATGAAGCCGAGGTTCCGATTCAAACAATATGCAAGGTCGCCGGGTTAAAATCTTCTACCCCAGGCCCAGATGAGCCCCGAGTCTGTGTCTTCCATACCCTACTTGTTTAACTATCGTTCTGACTCGCTTGCAGCTGGAATTCTTGGATGACTTGGAGGTGTTGGACGACGGCTATGGCATCCCGCGACCCGATAGGTCTACCCCGTTAGCGGAAACTCTACCAACTGAGCTTTTGGTCGTTCTCAATATCTTAGTGATGCCCCTTGAGCAGTTCAATCAACTAAAACAGAAGAGCAAGGTTCCGAAACCTGCCTTAGGGATTGCGGAGGCCACTTTGCTTGATGAAGTGGTGCGACTAATCCTGGGGGAATACCCTACTACCGTCGCCCAAGACAAGGAGCTCTTAGCTTCATGCGCCAACAACCAGGGATCTACGAGCCCAAAATCCGCAGGACGACTCAAGATGGCGCTGCAAGTCCGAAAAGGAGAGAAAGAAATTTTAAACGCAGTTCTTTCCGAGCTTGAAGACTTCATTGTTCAACATCGTCGAGTTTCAGACTCATATTCTGCCACGAAAAGGAACATGGAACATTCTACAGGCCTCGGAGAGAAACGAAGAAAGATATGAGCAATATTCTGCAAAACAGGAGACCAAGGTATGAAAACGAAAGATAAAAAAAAAGGTAGCAACTAATCAGGAGGATGAAGATTCTGAGCCTTTTTCTAAGATATTTTCCATACATTAAGGTTTTGCTAACTTTGCAGTACACGGTGAAACAGCGAAACTGGTGCGACGATGTACATTTAACATAATTTATATAGGGAGGGTGCTTGCATTGGACTTCAGTTCAAGCAAACATATCGCCAGGGGTTGATAGAGGTTGAAACAGAGCTTTGTTGTTGTGTGGATGATAGCGGTAGAGTGTGTTGAGGTAAGAGAACTCTGTTGAGACCCACTCAGGCAAGGTGGCAGAGTGATAAAAGCGTTATAAAAAAAATTAAATAAATAAGAGAAAAAAAAGAAAGAGAAAGAGAAGAGAAGAAAAACAGATTGCTCCTCTGCCAGATATTATGACAAAAAAGAAACAAAGAAGAAAGAAACACGCTCGAGAAACCATTCAAATCACGAAACACCGTCCATGCTAGAAGGCAACACATTATAAAGAAGGGATTCAGCAAAGAAATTCTAGGATCGAGGTTAAGGTCCCTTGAGCACGATGTTCGTTGTTCCGTTCATGGAACCGTTCGGACTAGCCATGACCACAGCTTCTCCATGCAGGCGCTTTTGGGCTTGCACCTGAGCTTGAAGCTGAGCGTGCGCTGCTGCTTGATCTCTTGACTTCGCAGAGAGATATGCACGATGCTGCATGATCTGAATGTCGAACTGGTCCTTTTCAAATATCGGATTTGCGTCCTCGTCTTCCAGATCATACTTGAAACGCTCGAGTTTTATGGGATCAACCTCTGACCTATTTCGGAATGGAAGATTGCGACGGTCAATTATCATTCGCCCGCCTCGCCCTATTCGCCGCCGGAATGACGGCATGGTTCTACTCGACTCCTCATCAGAAGGGGTACAATAGCGCACAGTTCTCACAAGCTTGTCTAATGCATCGGAATGGCTCCTATCTGCAATTGCGTCTCGCATGTTATCAGAGGACTCCGATGCTGGTGGCGTCGGAAGATACTCTGTGATGATTGCTGGGCGGAAGTCAGCATCAAAACTATGTTCTGAAGTTGGGGTAAGTGGTGCTGTCGTCCAGTCGACATATCCTTCATTCCACTTGGCATGCTTCGCGATGTTTTGTTTGATTTCGCGCAAAACCTCATTTTCTTTATCTGCCTGTACATCTTCCAGCAATACCAAGTCCTCTCCAGGCCCTCCAGCTCGAGGAGGCATACGGAGCTGAGGAGCAACTGGTCGGTTGCCAGCGGGGACTTCTGCCACCTTTTTCTTTGGCTTTACGATAAGTTAGCAAGAGAGATTCAAGTTGGAAGCCAACAATAATTCTCATTCCCACCTTCTGGTTGATGAGGTCATCATCGTCATCTTTGATGCCCAGTTTTCTTTTCGTCTCTTTTACTTCAGCCCGTTGCACAAAGACTTGTCGCTCGGCGATAAGCAGTTCTCTCCTTGCCAATTCGCGTTGGCGCACCATAGCGACCAGCTCTCTGGCATCTTCTAGCTCCTTTCTAAGCCTCCGCAGCTTCTCGGCACTCTGGGCATCTCTACCACGGGTCTTGCGGACTTGTCGCACCTCCCTTCTACGGAAGCAAACGTATGGGTCACCATCGTCTGTATCCTGGCCGGTTTCAAACTGCAAGCCCCAAGTTAGTGCTGGATATTTTCCACTACGCCTGGTTGAAGCACTCACTTTAAGTCCTGTTTGTAACGGGAGGTTTCCGGTCCTGTTTCTCCTGGCCTTCCAGTGTTCATATATATCATTTGCAAACTGCCTTACACTCTCATCTACGAGACCGTCAAAGGAATTTTCCATCTCAGAGTATGAGAGCACCGGAGGGCTGTCGACCGCCGCAAAAGGTTGCTTGCTCTGGGCAGTCTCTTCGAAGAAGGCCATGACCACTTCGAATTGATCTTCGGTACATTGTGTGGACGCATCTTTCTTCTGGTTCAAAATCTTAAGAGCTACATCGTCCTCATCCACTAAATTATAACTACAGCCGCTGCAATCCTCCACGGTGGACGAAAAGCGGATATACGTCGCAGGTTGCGAAAAGGTAGGTTTGTATATGGAGTCATATTGAAGGGAGCTCTTGACGGTTTCGGGGGTAGGGATATGAGCCTGCGCAACATTGCCACGAGCAGCAGCATTTATTGCCGCTTGGAGATGGATTTCCTACGACAGAAACGTTGGGCGGTCAGCGCATTTTGCACAAACAGATTCTCTCGTGACGTTTTGTAGGAATTTTCATATCTCAGTGTCACGTGATGTAGGGAACAGGCAACGTCACAAAAACTTGGAAGGGAAAAAGGACGGACAGTCTCCTCAGCTTTCTCCACTCCGGTTTCGATAGATTGTAGAGTAGTTTGGACCTCATCCTCGATGACATCAATCTGATCCTCTCGGAATATAGGAATAGGCTGTTTGGAGGTAAGTTTCTTTGGGCGCGTTGACCGCATCATCCCCACGAGCCTTGACATAACTCTGGGGCTGCAGCACCCTAGCGATCATAAGCAACCGTCCCAAAAAGGGCATCAATCGATAGCCCAGATCATGCAAATTTGCGTAGATGTGTTTTTAACACGGATGAACTGTGCTGGGGAGAGAAAATCGAGTTTGCAAAAGCGTGACGAAATGGTGATATCTTGAGTCGACGTTGGCTCGACACTAACAACTGGCCTGTTTTGGGCATCGGCCGGACCCAGGGGTCCGCTTAAATTTCCTAATACGGTTAGTGCGGGGATTATCAATATCAAAAGCCCCCCTGGGTGGTTTTTTCCTAATGTGGACTAGCGCGGTTAATTACCTTCAGAGGAACTTTGTTCTGCGTAACGTGACTTTGATGTATCTCATTCCAAGTTCTGGGGGCGTAATTTAACCAAGTAGTTTGTAAGTGGAGTCTACATTGTCCAATATCAATACATATAGCCACTTCCACCTCCACCTCCCAATTAATTCAATATCCCCGGTATATAAACGCTATTGAAAGACTATAAATACTTTTTCTTTCCTCTTCCCCTTATCATACCCAATGACTTAGATTTCAGCTTTCTTTCTCACATCTATTTCACTCCCTTTCCCCGTCCCCTTCCCCCGGCCTCCCTGCCGCACCACTATCATGGCTGCGGAACCCAATGCAGCCATGCATGAGGCTGAGCAGAGACAGCAGAATTCAGGCTCAGAGGTTCTAGATAACATAGTATCAGCTTCAAACTGTGCGCTACCCTTGGCGTTAAATCCCCGTAGTGAGTTTTGGGAGGCACGCCTAGCTAACAGATGTGGTATTATCTAGTTAATCGAGACGAGGTTGATAGACTACGGAAACGATTTATGAAGCTAGATAAGGTGAGAACCGCTGTTGATATGCTGCGTATTCCGCACCCACTGGGTTCGCTGTCGCAGTGGGTTGTACAGGTGCTAAATCCATCAAATATATTATAGGATAACTCTGGCACGATTGAGCGCGATGAGTTTCTTTCCCTTCCACAAGTATCTTCAAACCCGCTTGCGACACGGTATTGTCCCCGTCGTCCCCCTCCTCCTTATAAATATGGACATGCGACTCATATCTCTACCCTCCTACAACCAGAATGATTGCGATTTTCGACGAAGATGGTGGCGGTGATGTCGACTTCCAAGAATTCGTCTCGGGCCTATCGGCTTTCAGTTCTAAAGGAAATAAAGAGGAGAAGCTGCGCTTCGCCTTTAAGGTCTACGATATTGACCGTGACGGGTACATTTCGAACGGGGAACTGTTCATCGTGCTGAAGATGATGGTGGGAAGCAATTTAAAGGACATGCAACTTCAGCAGATTGTGGATAAGACGATTATGGAGGCGGATAAGGATGGCGATGGGAAGATTAGCTTTGAGGAATTTACGCGCATGGTGGAAAATACGGATGTCAGCATGAGTATGACTTTGGGTATGAATTTCCTTGTTTCCCCCCTTTTCTCTGTCTGTTACAGTTTTCTTACATAGGTTGCCATTACTTGTCATGCTAACTCTGTGAATCACACACATTTAGATCAATTCTGAGCATAATCTCGAAATTCACATTATCTGTTCTGTAATTATTCGATTCCCCCTCTTGATATTGTCCCTTAGGAACTGTTTCTGCCTCTGCTCTTTTCTTTACCCCTCCGATATTAAAGAGGCGGTTAATAAAATGTTAACATCATCTTGGCCATCAAATGAATCACACCCTTGGAGCGACTACAATTCATATGATCTAAATCTAGTTTTCGACTACATCGAAGTAGCAACACTTGTAGGGAAAACCATGATATCTACCAAAAGGATGCAATATCCCCCGCATGCTCATATGACATTCATCTCATAATACTCCATACACTGGCCGTTCACGTGTTGTTCGCTAAGGCGCCCAACAAAAACAATTCAACGTATGTCCCGCAATGGTCCTATATCTCAGTTCAAATCGATTCCATTCACCGACGGTACCGACGAACGGTGATGAAAGTTTTTGTTCCGATATCTATAGGCAATTGTCGCCTTTGTTTCCGGCTCATCTCAGCTCGATCTCCTTTCCCAGTCCAGTTGTCAATATGGGATCAAGTAGTTATTCGTAACCGTCCTGCCGGGGGGGTTTGTTTCTCTCCCAGGATCTTGGTCCAGTCAGGTTACAAATCACCAAGCAAAAATTGGCACCTTGAGACGTCGAGCCCAGAGACCGGAGACCAGAGAATAGGGTCACCTAGGGGGAAAATAAAATTCCGTGATCTTTGAAGCATGTTGGCAGATTTCCAGTAACCTGGTTCCCACCAGCCCTCTCCGCTTTGTGAAACTCAATTTCTAGCACATATCATGTCCACGGTACTAGCTAGCTCTTCAAATGAGACATTGGAAGAAGTTAAATGCCTATTTTCACGTGTAGAAATGCGATTAGGTTAGCTGTCATGTAATATTCTTCTCTCTGTCTCTCTCCTGATATCGACCCGTCTGTCTGGGAGTCGTTAATTATAGCGCAATGTGCTAACGCAACGTAAGCGCACAGTATGGAAACATCCCTCGCCAGATGGGAGTTTGTGAACTTGTTGATTCGACAGACGGAGAGGGAAAAAGTCTCTTTATCGTTAGCCGCATGTCTCGAAGGCCCAACCACCATGCTCACCCAGGGCTTTCAAACCCTGGCGTGCAATCGAGCTCACATTTACAGTTGAAGGAACGTGTCATTTGGAAAGGAATCCGCTAGGTATCTAAATTAGATATTTCACATCCAGAAAATATCTTTCCCCCTTGGTGATTGTGCTAGACTGCGAATTCCGCTATCCAGCAAGTCTGCAGCAGTATTTCCATCGGCCTCAACCGAGTGTCTGAAAACTGTCCGCGAGTATCTTGATATATGGAGATCGATCCTGTGGATGTCCTTGTCCGGTCTTGATGAGACGTTGCAGGGGCCAACCCGCCAACGAATGTCAAACTTGGAAGATATCCACTAGATATTTGCATGTATCAATACCTCCCGCTAAAAATAACTAAACCCCCACCACGGAGTACCTTTTACCAGGAATTCTTATCCCATCGAAATATCCTTCTAGCAGCTCCCTCTGCCTCTTAGCTGGCTAGTGAGGTCGCTTATGTGGTCTTTAGTCTTCCACTAGCAGGAGGTTATCTCCAAGGTTCCAACTCCGTGGAGCGCCGTGTGGAGGAGCATCAGCATGAATGAAGCTTGCTCATACACTGCATGTGGGCGCACGATGATGCCCAACTGTGATAAAACTAGTCGAGAGTCCGTCGCGTTACCAATGGGAAATGGGATCAAGTCAGCATGGGAACGCATCCATGGACGGAGAGCTACCGTTTCGTTATCATCTTGTTCGTAATGGGCGCTGTCTGCTTCCAAGCCTCAAATCTGACAAGCGCTTGGGCTGTCACAGGGTTCTCCACTGAGATTTGAATCCGTCAACATGAATGAAAAACCTTGCTATTAAATATAAACTTCCCCCTCCCCCCAACTCTTATCCAGTCCCCACTCGCGCCATTTCTTTTCTTTTTTATATCTTGGTTGACTCTGTGACGGGGCGTGATTTAAGGCAACTATTTCACATCGTTCTCTTTTTCTCGATGCGGAATTCATCACCATTTCCACTATTGTTATTGTTGCTGGCAGCGCGGAACGTCAGCGTGATAAGACCTTGAAGATATTAATTGCGACACAGATGTCGACAGCAAACGAATCAACTCCTATTTCGGTAGACTCTGAGGTTCGTGTGGTGGATACCCTCTGCCCCTCTTTGCCCTATGCGTTGGATATACATCCTTGTTGGATGTCATTCATTCTAACACACGTCCTTAGTCCGATAACAGCTATGAGCACCTTGAAGATGGCAACTTGTTAGTCGAAACCGCTTAAAAATACTACTATATTACGATTTATATTTTCTCAGGACGCACAGCTAACTGATGCTGGAACAGCTCGTCGTTTGCACGATCTTTGGCATCAACCGTTGTCAATCAGACATATGAAAATGGTATGTTCTGCCACCTGCAAAAGCTAACAGGACTGGCTTTTCAGAAACAACATCATATGGACATAATGTTTAATATTATATTTCTCAACAGGAAGAAGATACCATTCTTTTAGGGAAGGCGGTGAGTACAGCTCTAAGGATATGATATCCTAGTCTATCAAAATCTCTATGTGTGTGACTGTGTTAATTTTTTGTTTACTGTTCTGGCTATTTTAATAGCATACATATTTCCAAACGATGAGGTGAGTCGAGTCTGCCGGCATACTCTATTGCGGATCTATTCCCAAACTTGGTGAATATAGGTCTTGCTCTATCTGACAGCCCGTCTGGTTCTAATAGAAAGAGAACAATCGATTAGATATTGTACATCATATGATGTATCTCCTATGTGATGAACAGCTTCATCTGGCGCCTATTGGCGAAAGTCCGCAGAATATCCTCGATATCGGTGCCGGGACCGGCCTTTGGTGCTGCCAAATGGGTATGTATTGATTTGGTGTATTTTAAAAAGGAATTACTGAGCTACAAAATACCCTATTGCTCTTCGAAGGATGAAGAAATACTAATAATATAAAATGTAGGGGATGACTATCCTTCAGCACAGGTATGTTGACAGAACACCAAACGAGCGTCAGTAGCTGTGGCCGATCAAGGCTATACAACTAAACCACCTCAACGTTAGATACTAGGCATCGACTTGAGTCCTATACGAAACACATTGTTTGTAACCACCTCCCCTGCACATAGAGAACTCACAAATCAGAAAGCGAGGAAAGCCCTATATTTTCTTCATAAGAATTCTAATCCCCTTGATGAAGCGATGCTACTCCAGACAACGTGAGATTCGAAATCGATGACGTCGAAAGCGAATGGACATTTATCAACAATTTCGATTACATCCATAGCCGCTACATGACCGCCTCGATACGAGATTGGCCAAAGCTGATTGAGAGATGTTACAGGTAAACCCCGCTCTCTCCCTCCTAATACACGCAGCCAAACCTCCATGTCCACGTATGTGCACGTTTACATACATACATTCTAAATGCTTCCTTCCAGTCATTTGATGCCTGGCGGCTGGGCTGAGTTTCAAGACTCCGACGCAAGGTGGTATTCCGATGACGACTCGTACAATCAAGACTCAGCACTTGGAAAATGGCTCAAGTTATTTCACGAAGCCGCGTACGCACATGGCCGTGAGCTGGCGCCGGGACCCAAGCTCGAAGGATGGGTGCGCAGTGCAGGTTTCACTGATGTTGTGACTAAGAAGCTTCGGGTTCCTGTTGGAAAATGGCCGAGAGATCCGAAATTGGTACGTGAATTACACACATAACTTTCACTACCCCCTTACCCCGCCCATTCTCATTTGACAGACCAGCGTGGAAGGAAATGGAAAGGGCATAACCTCCGCAAACCCATGGATGGGCGAAATATAAGACAAAAGAAGAGATGCACAAAGGAAAACAAAAAAAGACGGAGTTCTACACGTACTCCGGGAAGGTCCAAAATGCAACTTTTTATATCCGTATTGACCCAGAGATATTATTGAGCAGAAAACTGTCGGAACATGGAACCTCATCCAGATCATTGAAGGGATGGAGGGATTTTCCATGGCCCTTTTTTCGCGAGTTTTAGGATGGTCCCCCGATGCCATCCAAGCCTTCGTCTCCGACGTGGTTGAAGATCTCCGCAATCCAAAAATGCATGCACTATTTGACCTGTGAGTGAACGTTCTTCTTTTGCCCCCTTTCCAATCTATGAGGAAGCATTTCAACTTTACCAGACCCTGACATGTCCACTTTTCTGCCTTCCAGATACATCGTCTACGGCCGCAAGCCGGAAAAAAGCACAAGTCAGCATTCTATAAGTGGGCCGCAGAACCTATTAACTCATTAAAAGTCATGGATGAGAAACAGGATAAAAGGAATTTCAGTTTGATTGGTTTAATGACCATGATGACAATGATGATGATGGCTCCTTGGCAAAATTCTATATTGACGTCTATTCATTTGTTTAGAGTGAATCTCACTTTGATAGAGGAAACAAGAATGAGAACAAGAGAAGGTTTTATATCACAAAGAGATGATAGAGAAGTAATCTGCACATCCTCTCATATGCTCTGAGAAACTCAAACATATTAAATCAAAGAATGTACAAAAATAGATATGAGTCATGACATAAAGTATAATACCTACTTATTATCAGTAACACTTACAGGTTCGTCAGTCTGATGTTAAAACAAGTTTTCATTTGCTGAAACAACGAGGTTGGAAAGACCTATAGGTTCAGAAGACAGAGTAATCCAGCTGATATTCAGCTAAATAATTAAAGATAAAGATGTCATGACTCCTTAATTGACTAATCATATGTAATAGAATTCTAAAGTTGCTGACTCTGTTTCAAATTCAAAGTTAAAGCAGTGCATCGATTGTGCGAGCATGTTTATGAAAATAGAAAAAATGAATTCACAACAAAAACTATGGAAAAGAACAATATGACCACACTTGATTGGAAGTTTCAAGTGTGTGTGTGTGTGTGTGTGTGTGTAGAAATGCTTTCAAAGACAGCAAATGACAAGGTCAGCAATGCAGCAAGCAATGCACTGTAATGCTGTGCCATCACACATACGCAACTGCGCCAGCGACCAGCGCGGAGGAGGAGGACGTTCAACATTCCAATATGAGTGGGTGGAAAGGGGACAGCAAATATGATAGAGAGACGGGTTTGTTCTTGATGGCGCTTTGATATACATAGCCAATGCTGAGGTTGAACAGGGCAAATTGGGGAAGAGGCTATCCATACCGAGTGCAGTATTAGAAAATGCTTGTGAGTGGATATGTCGACAGCGATGTTGAGCAGCATATACATATACATGCAGCAGTCCGCAGTGGAATAACCATAACTGGCTCCAAGGGGAGTAATGTAATAACGGAAAGGCAAGGAGGTCCGACCAAATCGTCTTCAATCTCCCATCCATAGGCGTTTCAGGCACAAATTCAGCTTGTCCTACGATTCACCCGCCTGGTTTCTAACTCCTCAAAAGGTCGCCCAAAAGCACCACCACCTCCTAGTTAGGCAATGTGATACGGACTTTATGCTTAATGCTAAAGATCGTCAATCGGATTTCTTCCCCTAAATTTAATATGGCCAACACTGGAGTCGTCTGGGAAGGGAGACCTCATGGGGAAGCCAAAGCCAAACTGGATCCCAGGAGGAAAATCAAATCAGAACTCGAAAATTTCATTTCGGTTCATTGCATAGGTGTCAAGATGCGCAGCAAATGGGTATATAAAGAGCTAGCCAAAGAGTCAGTGTGAGGGGGAACAAGGAAGCAAAAACGGCTATGGGTGGATACGTCGACATTCTGCATGGCAGACCCTGTTCAACCGAACAGCTATTGCTAAAAAAAGTGTAAACACGCCCGAAAAGATAGCCAATAATGAACAGAAGACCTGTATGGAAACGAGACAGGGGAAAGAAAACCGTCAAGTTGAACAAATACTAAACAAATTATTGCAACTCGCACCAATTCCTACGCCCGGTCTATGGTTTTAAGCCCTCTAAACGTAAAACGTCCTTGAAAAGTTCCCAACCCTTGATCCGAAAACAAACAAGAGAGACGTATGAAATGAAAGCAGTGCCACATATTTTGCACAAATCAAACAAGGAGGAATGCATCTGGAATAGAAACACCAACGTTGATAATTACACTCGAGCGCAACTCAGTTTTCGCTTCATCGTAGAGGCGGATGTATATGAGGTATAAAAGGGGTAGAGGTCGCTAATATGAAGTAGATTACCAGACAGGGTTGGTCCTGACTAGTGGAGTCGAGCCCAAGCGATAAAGACCCAACGGCAATAAATGCCTGGATGCAAACTCCCAGCATTTACAACCATTGTCGATCAACCTTTCAACTTTGTGTTATGCATCTGCAGGTTAAGAACCAATCGGTTGACACGGAATAAGGTAGGTTTCTTATGCCAACCAAATCAAGCGGGCCAGTCTGCGGGGGATCAAGAAGCAAAGAAAACGAACATGAATATGCGCCGTCGCCATGCAGTACTGTGTAATACGAAAAGGATACAAAAAAAAAAAAAAAATAAAACGCATCACGATCGTTACAGGAGCAGTGGGAGAGGGCGCAATCAACTCGTTCATCGTTGAGCTTCTGAGGTAGTTGTCCTCCTGATGGAGGTTCCTATTGCAGGGTTGTTCTCATTTCTTTCAAGGAGGTCAAGGCACTGGCCCAAAACTAGGACTAGAATATTAGATGCGTTGAAAGATTATTTTCTTGGATCCTACCAACCAAAGAAAGGGGGAAAAAAGGAGTAAAGGTAGATTAAATTCTCACCACTTAAAATTTCTTCCTCCCACACACCCATTTGATAATCAACAAGGCCATGCTGTTCCAATCGATCACACATGCGAACCAATTCCCTCCCCATCCTGTTCAGAACATCCTCTGTTAAAAGGTTCTGGGACGGGATACCCGAATCAAGCACAGCCTGTGTTACATCCTTCTGCTTCTGACATACGGCAAGCCAGCAGGTATTAAACTCATTCCACAGTTTGATTCGATCTGAATGTAATTCTTCTTCGTCGCGAGTAAGACCTGAAATCAGCTATTAGCCCAAAGGTATTGCACCACCAAGGTGCCGCACGAAATTAGACTGTGTGGATCACACGTACCGAGCTCGATTGCATTTCCAAGGAGCCACACTGATATCTCTAATAACGAATTACTTGCATCCACCAGTCTTCCAGATTGGGCACTTGCAAACGTTTGCCTTAAGGCATGCTGGTACTGGTTATATGCGGCATCAAAACCAGACGATGATTCGCGTGGGAATTCCGGATGACCGAGTGCCTCTGTGGCTGATGAAGTGTGGAAATCACTCATAATTTCAGGTAATGTGGTGGCTGTAGTCGCGCGGGTGGGGGAAGTCGGCTGAGGGTAAGAGGTAGAATGAACTTGCCCAGCAGTTAAGTACTGGTTTGGTACTCCTACAGCTGCCGGTATTTCCGCTTGGAAATATTGTGGAACACTAAACTGAGTTGCCAACGCTTCGATAGCTGCAGAATTCCGCGGTTGATAGTGTGACACGGTTCCATACGGTGAATGTGGGTGAGCTTGCGGGGTGATATTGTATGCCATGTCGCTCTCATATTGGGACAACCTCTGCGGTTGCTGATATTGATGTTGGCTTCTAGAAAACGAGGAGAAATTTGACTGGTCCTGCAGCCCACCACTCTGCGAAGTCCCGCTCTGAAGAGATGAAGCACTATATGATGGTGATTCTGTGTATCCGTAGCCACCATAAGGAGGAAGGTTGGAAGCCCGGTCTTGTGGCATCACTTCCCCAACAGCAGCAGCTCCTCGAGACGGTACTGGCTGTTGCTGTTGTCTGAAACGGTCTGCGAAACTACTAGATGAATGGCGAATAGCATGTTGTCCGACGCCAGAGGCTGTCTGACAGTCAGAAAAATCATATTTCTTTCTTTGCTGACCGTCACCATCCATCCCCGCGTCGTGGTGTGAGATGCTCCCGCCTCGCGACGGATCGAGGTGAGAGGGCCGAGACGCCCGAGGCGAGATAGGGGAGTTGCGTAGAATTCCAGTTTTTCGGTTCTCTGGCCTGCTTCCCAATCAACATCTACTCTGTACGACAAACCCAAAAGGAGACCATTCGCTCTTTGCAGGGGATACTAGAACTGCCTAGGTCTTTTGGTTAACAGAATAGTGGTGGGGTAGGGTACGCACAAATTTTCAGGGGCAAAGACGGTCATTACCTGAGTTGTGGCAACTTTTCTTCAAAACGAACGGGCATTCAATAATTGAATGAGGTTTGATTAAGATTAGTGTTATTCCTCTAATTCCTTTGGTCTGATAATCGTAAATATTGGAAACTTTTCGGGGAAGGAAGAGCGACAGGGAAATCAAATCGATTATAACGAACCTGACCAAAAAGTATTAAGAAATGTGGACTTGGAGGGATATTTAGTGGAGAAAAGCGGAGATGCCGATTAAGTGTCACTCTGCTCTGCGCTAGAGCCGGGAGGCGCAATGACAATAAGGGTCGATTAAACGGGCTTTATCAACAGGAATGCGATCAACCGAAGTCGGCTAGACCAAGAAATAACTCGAGGAAATGTACAGGGACACCCCTTGGTAACAGGTCAAATGGCGGCGCCCAGTCGCATAGGGCTTGCATTTAGAGAAACCCCAAAAGCATTGGTGGGGCTGACTGAGTTAAAATATCCGGGGAGAAGAAAACAGCAGTAGGTAATTTTGAACTGCTTACGCTGGGCTCTCCTTAATGTTATTCGTGGAGAAACGGAACCTTTTCAACGAAGATCTAGAAAGCTTAGAGAGCCCGTTGTTTCTGCTGTATAACTAACAAAGATGTGGTAGAGTCAGCTCTAGAAAATGAATGGAACGTGCGAAAATAACTTTAAGATGTTATAAATGTCAGCAAGTACTCACCAGATTCAATCCTTAGAAGTTCCTCTCCTGTAACATGGTACTGGTAGCCTTCCACATCTGTTTACACCGTTTTTGGATTCTCACCTATGTGCCGTGATTGATGTGGTTCCATACACCAACACAGCCACCAGCCCCTTTTCTCCCCTTGTCCCCCCTTGTCCTTCTTGGTATGTTTTGAGCTCTGTCAAGACTTCAGAGAATGCACTGAAATTGGAGCATGAACACCCGCCAAGGCTGGCCGTATGACTTGAAGGGCCCCCCCAAAAAAATAAAAATAAAAATAAAGGAAAATAAGAATAGTGGGACAGCAATTAGAGTAAGCAGGAGACGCTACAAAAACCAAATACCAAGTTTGGCTAGAGAGGGTGAAGTGTTACGCAAGACGAGATGAGGAATCTAGAAGGGTGTCACGGCCCTTAAGGTAATTGGCTCTCACCGTTAGAGGTTGATATTTTCCAGCGTATATTTCACGCGAACGATTGGGCCATGATTATAGAAAAGTGGGTTGGAAGAGACAGAACCCTATTTTCTGAAGCCTGGACAGACTCTGGATGCCATCCACAACTCCCAGAGAACATGAAGAAGATCGACAGCAAAATTTGCCACTTAAGCCTGCGGACATTTGCTCTGGAAGAAATGGCGGTGCCATATCCGATTCTTAGTAGCCACGCGGTGCATTTTTTGGTTCTGATCTATCCTTTCAAGCTCTGGGGGTTGATAAAGCTGTCTGCATATTTCGGGCTAATTTTTGGCGGTTCGAACTTACAGCATGCCCTAGTTTGATCGGAGCAGGCATCATGTGAAGATCAGGAGCCTGTCATTGCGGGGAGGCTGTGGCGGTCCTGATGGATCGCTTGTAGAGCGCCGTTGGCCTAGCAGATAATGGGCGATAAGGGCAAAGTAATTATAAACGACACCATAACGCAAATAGGATGTGTAAAATGCCGCCAGATACGATTCAGGTTAGGTCAGTCATAGATTATTGCGCTGTCGAAACACATTTCGGATTTCCTGATGGCCAGGAGATTAGGACGACGCCCATGGCCCGAAGATAGTCGTAGAAAACTCTCTGATCTGCATGTCAGCAATAATGTCTTGAAACCATGCTCATTGCCCAGGTTTCTCAATTTGTATCCATTCATTGCCTTTTCAAGACTGGGAGCATTGCTAAATTGCTCGCACCCGTCAACACTGCTAGAATTGGTCTAACATGTGGCAGAAATTAGCAGAGCATTAGGCATGACCTCTGCCGCAACTTTTCTTCTCAGCAATGCGTGCCTCATCAAAGCTTAAGACTCAGCGGGAGGCGAAATTCATACCCCCCTGTTCCGCATCCCAACCCTCATTCACAATAACCATTGACAGTGCGGCGTTTGAATGGTCCATAGCAGAAGCCATTCCACTAGAATTCCAATCCCCAATGTGACAAAATTAGGAGTCTAGTCTCGGACCTTGCTGTAGGCGCTTGAGTGAGATAGATGCCAATTGGATGCATGACTGATGTTAGCTGAAATTGGCAAGCTATGCAGCGGCTGACCAGTGAATCCTCAGGAGGAAGCTTATTAAGGTCTGACGAGTGCATTGAGCCTAGAATCGGGCACATCTCACCAGGGGGAACACGCCAAAGCAGGTAGACAAACACGAAGCTCTGAATCTCTGCGCAAGAAAAAGGTAGTTTGCTTATCACACTGCGATCCTGAGCTAGACAGGGAGCATATGTGAATTTCTTGACTTACACTTGTCAGGGATAGAGATATCATTGATTCATTTGAAGTTGAGGTTGAAGTGTTCCATATTTAACTAATTAACCTGTTTTGGGAAGAGGCTCAACTTTTGAACTTAAGTTCCACTTTTTCTTCGAACTTCGACAACTTCACTTCATCTAGTTACATCACCATGTTTATATTCTTATTGAAACGCAACTCCAACTCCAGTTTCAGCTCTCCATCCATGCGTATACACTTAATTGATATATCATCAAGGGCGCACAGCCTCTTGCTTGCTTAAGGTTTCAGCTCTAGCAAAAACTTCGACTAGACAATGCTAAATAAATTGTGAAAAAGGAAATTCTCACGGCCAAGTGGGCGAACAACAGAGTTCATCCAACAAAGTTGAATTGATTAACTACTGGCCATATCTTGTTTCTGTGTATCCACAAGATATACCCAGAGGCAAACCCGTTCAGGAACGTCTGAAGAACCGTTGAGGCTCCTCGTCCCGAGCCGTATAGTCAAGCCCGGTATTTGTAGGGCAGCTTGTTTCTTGTCGGGTGGCTTCTGGGATGGAAGCCACGGCGTCAGAGAACGTGGTATATCTTATCCGTATAATTTAAAGGAAAAAAGAAAAAGGAAAAAGGAAAGAAAGTAGTGTTTGAGAATTGGATTTAACGGTGATCACCTCGATGGTCCCTGTCCAATAGTTGATGTCTCTGTGGTCCATCAATAATATCGATCTTTCCAAATTCCATCTCAGACCTTGACCCTTTAGCTTTTGCTACGCTGCCAAAACCGAGACTTAAAGGAGGCACAGCGAAAGTTGCAGCGACATGATTCTTCAAACGTGATATGCTTTTGATCGATGAGAGTCACCTCTTCGATTTCTGCTGATGAGGATGGGCTAGATTCGTGAAGCGGGATTGTGATGAGCAAAGACCTGCATTTCAACACTTTGCTTTATTAACTACTGTATACTTACTATCGGGACTCAAGCTTAACTCCGGGTTTCAGAAAGCATCTCCCTAAGTGAAGCATGCATGACGTGGAGTATAATGCGATGCGGAATAAAGATCATCATAAGCACCATCTATCTTATGATAGTCTGCGGAGCTGGATTGTGTGTCCTTGCCACTGCACCCATCAACACCCTCCTTTCCCAAGTAGAAGCTCACCAATTTTTATTATTTATCTTTTATCTTTTGGAGAACTGAGCTCAAAATCGTGGGTTCTGACAACCTAACTAGCTTACTATTTCTGCCAGTAAGGCTGACGAGAACGCTCCAATGCTACCCATCAATCTTATCCAATACTACACCACCTACTTCCCGGCGGCATCTTTTAAGCCATTGGTTCCTGCAAGGGTCCAGACATCACGTTGTGTGCGTATCGGAGATTAATAATACCAAAAAATGGTGTCAGCTCCCAAAGCTAAGTTCTTCGGCAATTCTTCTCGAAGGTAAATAAGGAGTCGAAACGAGACTAAGATTGTTAACATACCCTAGTTACCCGTTTAGCTGCATATTTGCGGATCTTGGTTCATCATAGCGGCAACTGGCGCAGCCCGCCTTCTGGAAAATCCACAGAAGTGTCCAGACAAACGCCCCCGGCTCGGGAACCAGGCCGAAATCAAACTGACCTGATTCAGACTTTGGAGTTCCAGGTGAGTTGCCAAATTCCATCACAACCCCTGCGAGGGAGATGGGCAGAATAAGTGCTCAAGTTAACTGATGTTAACTGATGTGATCCTTAGACCAAGTGATTTAAATCAATTTCAGGATGATTGGAACAAAATTCTTCAGAGCCAAAATCCTGGCTTCAATCTAGGGAGAAAAAAGAAAGAAAGAAAGAAAGAAAGAAAGGCTGGGGGGGGAAGGGGTGGAAACAGGGGTAAAATAGTAGTAGGAACTTTCCACCAACCATCCCTTAAATTAATCGGTTACTCGAGATCTAAGCTTATTTAAGAATTCCCTTAGTTGGGCGATCCGAAGATTTATCCCAGCAACTAGCACTCTGCAACGAGACAATATTTGCTTCAAGATGAAATCGCGACACGTGTCTTTGTCCATTTTCTCAGCCAGCGGGCTTAAAAGAATTTCTAGGGAGCCCTAATGACGCTTAACAAAAGCCAACTATCTACATTGACTTGACGGACGTTTCTCAAGGCAATGCTCGTAAGTTCATACCTGACAAGCCGCCTCCCGGGTTCGCTTGGTTCTGCTACTGTGGTGTGGCACAGTTTTAGAGGTTCAGAGGGACACTACAGCCGACATGAAATGAAAATATATAAGGCGCGGTGGAAGCTCTGGCGAAGCAGCTAGGATGGAATTTTATTCGCTTCGGTTATCCTACCCTCGAGCCTAAGCCGAGCTGAGAGTCAAAGAATACTTAATTTCGAGACACGAAGGTCGTGGGATGACTCGGGTACGAGTTTACACAAGTTCATGCACAGGCTGAACTTCCCCATTATTGGTGGCATCTGAATCATCTTATAGTTCAAAAGGTTTAGAATTGCGCATTTGCTGCCCGCCAACTAACTACCCACTTGGCTCCAGATTGGGAATAAAACAAACATTTCATTCGTACCACAGATAGAGACAATCCATGCTTCAAAAATAATTAATCACGGTAAGCATTTGACACGTGCCCAGATACCACTTCCTACAGAATACTCCCACAATTTGGATATTGCTAATTCGTGATGGCATATCATTGTTATGAAAGGATGTTTCAATATAACCTCCCGTCTCACCACCATAATATGAACAATTTCCAGCACCCTCTACGTCATCAATTCCTGCACTCAGTATCAGCCCAGAATCATCTATTTAGAAATGAATTACGTAACTCGACACGTCGACAGAGCACCCACATCATTTTATAGCTTCCTTTTCCTACCAGCCATGCTGCAGAGACCAGGCGTATATGATCCGGGCGGTAGTAAATGCTCCGGCCCACACTGCCCACTTGTTCGCTTCCATTCAGACAGAGAGCGTCGATGCATAAATTAGGATTTCTCGATCCTTGAAAAGATCACAGTGTGGCAAAATCCAAATGCATTAGGCACAATATCTCGCACGAACCGCACATACATTGCCTCGAATTTCGTTCATGCGCGGAATTTAAAACCAGGTCTCCTGGTTCGTCGCACATAGCCTCACATGGAGTGATGAAGCAAGGCAAAAAATGCGAGGAGACAAGAACAGTTACGCATCATCACCTTCAAGGTTCTATAACTCCCATACGACCGCGAATCAGTGCAGGATATGCACACAAGGTATCACAACTCGTTTCACAACAATTATTGTTAAACACCGATTCTAATCTTAATGCAGAAATGCAATGGCCAATGAATGGAGCTAGGCTCCTCGAATGTACTATTCAACATCAAATATATTCCAGATGATGTTGAGCAATGATTGTTAGTTTCTTATTCGGAGGTAGCGCTGAAAATTTGACGATAATGCGTTATCAAAGGAGACTTCGTGTATTAAGAATGAACGGTTGTTTGTTCGATTATTTGGGGATGGTGATTTCCATCAGTCAACAGATTCCAGAGCGAGACTTGCGCTTAGTCGATTATTTAAAATATTTTATGTTATATCACGTAGCAGATGCATGCAAAAGTCGAAATTTCCAGTTTTGAGCCGGGTTAATTTCCCTTGAAAATTGTATGGAAAAGTGATCAAGCCTGGTAACAAGATGATGAGAAAAATGGAACTCTCCAGAAACGATTCATAGAAGGACATGTAATTCCAAGGATCAAAGATAAATACTTCGAACATTAAGGCCGAGCACTCCGGCATAGGGATGTCAGCTCAAATCTTAAATCCTAGAACTCGGCTTCTGACCCCGGCTTCTGACCCCCGTTTCTCGAAAGCCACACCATGAACTATCGAATGTAATGACGGGAAATATGGCATTCATGTCATGTCCTGTCGCACATCCTAGAGCCAGAGAGCCGCTAACGCATTCCCAGCTGACCTGCGGAACGCGAAATCAAGCGCAGATCTCCGCCGCATTCTCCCCTGACCCTCCACTCCCACTCCCGCGGGTATCCCTCGTCAAGAAGAGGAACAACGACAAACACCCAGGCTTTATCTTCCCCTGTGGCTAAATATCTCCAATCCGTATCAAAAAATTGGCCAAACCAGAGGTCAGAAGGTCGTGGGTCCTGGAGTCACGCCGACTTGACTAGCTGCTGCTCCCGCTCCCGTGAGTTTGTGCTCTCGTCAGAACATCCAAACGAAAAGCCTGTGCTCTCATACGCAGAGAGAATGGATGCGTTTTGAGCCGGCACTACATGGAGTAGACAGTAGTCAAAGGGTTGTTAACCCGTTAACCGCAACCAGGAACGATGCCCGCACAACCCCCATTGCCTCTTTGGGCTCTTGTAGGGTCTATTGGTTGGGTGACGGGAACACTTGGCCAGATTATGTGTAGGGAAGTGGGTTCGGATGTGCTTCGTGCCACATATGTAGAATAATAGTGTGGATCTACACAGCAGGCTTCTTCTTGCCCCGGTTCGACCTCTGAATGTATGCATGGAGCTGGAGAAGCTAGGACATGTTGTTGATATTCTAACGGATCTGAAGAAGAAAAGTGGGAAAGGTGATTTGCTGTATTTCTTCTAGTAGATTATGGCGTGTAACTGGTGTCGATGTAGCTCGATTTTCCGTGAATTGGAATAAGATGTGGATACGAATGCACACCTGGAGCCAGGATGATGCGTTTCTCCCTTTCTTTCATATACTTTTTGGTTCTTAATTAGATGATGACATGTCAGGGGTGCTGATAAGGATCGATAAATATGCAGGGTGATCCAGCAGAGACCCTCATATAAAGCTAGCGCCGAGACCACTAACCATCACGCATCCATCAAATATACACACGATGAAACACAACTCAGGGAAAAGCTTAAAAATTTCAAGGCGTCAGTTGCTTAGCGAACTGAAACCCAAACAGGAACGACCTTTGCAGATACGTCACCAGGGTAATCGAGCGGGAAACAGGGGCCGACTAGGATGACTTTGGGGAAGGGGTTAGACGGAAGTTGGTAGATAGGTAGAACGGGAGGGTTGGTAGGGGAAGGTGTTCATGCATTATCCCATGATGATGCCATCTAAAGCCAGGCGCAGGGTTCAAGGTACGTGGGATACATAACCTGAGAGCAAGATATATTGGGTTTGGGTCTGTATGTGCCTTTCCCAGCAAGAATTTGGCTTTGAAGATGTATGGGCCTATCAGGCGACGGGAAAGAAGGGGAACAATTGGGAGGAATGAAGGAAAAAGAAAAGAGCTGAATATTTTAGAAATGTGGTACGGTGTCGTCGGCTTGTTGCATTCATCCGTGGCACACATTGTCTGTGCTATTGCGGCTTGGCACTGTAAGATGCGAGTACCAGAGTCCCTGGCAGGAGGGCCGGTCAGATTGTAAGAAAAGGATGTGATGGCTGTCTGGCGGTGTGTTGAGGGTCCAATGCTGAATAGTGTATTATTTTCCTAATTAGAGTATGGCCAGTCCTGGCGAAAAGCCGCCAACAAGGGAAAGGAATATGTATGGGTCCATGTGCGCAGAATCTATGTGACCTGGTGCTTGGTGCAAGAAGTTGAAGGGTTGTTGAGAGTGGTATGAAATAAAGAAACGAAAAATTAATAAATAAAAAATAAATAAAAAATCAAAAAAAGAAACACGGAGACAGGGATCGCAGTCACCTGTTGAGCCAACTGGTTGTGAGGAGAGTCCATGCGAGAATGAGGTATAGTTGAAACATTCTTCGTTCGGTCATAAAGTCAATAATAATAATAATAATAATAATAGCAACAATAATATTGGTTAATCCATGGGCAAAGAAGCACCTCAAGGAGATCTGCAGACATGGATGCTCGGAAAATTCTGTGGGTACAGCATCATCTGGTTCATTGCCTTTTCTGACCGGTCACCGATTATTGTCGGACTTCCGCATCGGAAGCCGTTTTGCCCCTTGTTTTGGCATTCCCTGTAAGACTCTGAGCTTGATTTTGAAGAAGACCGAAATCATAACAAGGACACTGTTGATTCCGTGGTATATACTTTGATTTCTATGCGGGCTCCGAGGGATCACCAAACCGCCAGAAGACGGTGTAAAACACAAAATGAAATCAAGACATTGAGCTGATATACAGTGTGCTAACGAGAACGATAAATTATCCAAGAATACATAAGAAGAGAAAAGAAAAAGGGCGCCACAAATGAAATGCACATTTCATCGCTTGACCCATGCAGGCATCTTTCTTGCTTTAAGGTGACCCGGCTTCTTTCTCTCGACTTGTCGAGGGTCCGTTGAGATACAACCGGCTAATAGTTCGAAAGAAAATGTGGTCAGTCTCTCAAGTTGACTTTGAAAAAGGATGGGCGGAGTAAAAGAGTGAAAATTTTCGACAATCGACAGCGTCAAAACCAACCACGCGTCTAGAACCGGCGGAAACAACATACCTTTCCTTAATATCGGCTTTATTGCAGGCTCATGAACCAGAAGAGCTTTCCCCAGAGCAACAGTCATGGCTTCTGCTTGACCAGTAACACCACCCCCGCGCACAATAGCAAAAACGTTATATTTATCCAAGCGATTGGTCACCTTTAGGGGCCAGAGAGCGCTCTCTCGATCATGAACTCTGGAGAACACTTGAACGATATTCTTGCCATTGATGAGCACCTCCCCCTCTCCTTCAACCAACCAAACTTGTGCATGTGAAGTTTTCCGTCGCCCAACGCCTCTAGCCCGACCCTTGTTGTCGAGTTCCTTGGGTTTTGGTTGTTGCTGATATAGGTTTCCCGGTCGTATGAAATTCTTTAGAACATCTTTTACTTCCTTGGGTACCAAGTCCGGTTGGATCTGGTTCAACCTGGACAGAATTTTCTGCAGCTGGCGATATTTGGCGGCGGGTACCTCCTCGTTAATGGCATTTTTATAGTCTGCATGTTTGAGAAAAGCCGTCCGTGGCGCTTCACTGGCGGGGACAGTGCGTAACAGAGCATATTTGCTTTGAATATATTCCAATTTCAACATATCGTCGATGAATTTCGGGGTACCAGTGAAGTAGGCGGGTGAGGTAGGCAGTATACGGGAGGGAGTAATTTTCAGTTTCGCCGTATCAATTGGGAGAGAAGCTTTAACCTCGGGTTCCTCGGCCGATGTGGATAGAGAGCGTTTCTGGGAGTGTTTTTGGGAGCGTTTCTGAGAGCGGAGAGACATTGCGGGTGCGACTGTGGACAGACACTGCTTCCGGGAAACTATGAATGAAGGGCGGGAGAGATGGGATTCCCATTGAAAGCTATTCTGTGCGGATCTGAGAGCGCGAGCAACACAGCTCGGCCTCTGCCATGCCATTGTGCAGAATGCAATGGTGTGCGTGGCTGGTAGATAACAGATGTGAAGCTGTATCCAGCGCCCAAAAATGATGACCGTCCTCTTTTTTCGCAGGTGGAAGGACTACAGCACGTGATAGAGAAATATATCACGTGTTCATGTGATCGGCGGTGCGATTTCTCCGGAGCCGAGCTAACAAATTCTGCTCGTTTGGCCCAGAAAGGAAATTTTTGACCTGTATCTTTTTTTTTTTTTTTTCATTTCGTCACTCAAAACATCTCTAAAGATCACCCGCATTTTATAATCCTATCCCCATTCCCTGATAAGTGTCTATTCGTTCTGTGTTCTTCAACATGTCATTCGGGAAGATCTACGGCATGGCTGTAAGTGTTGCCCCTCTCGTGCCTGTGCTGTCTTGGTTTTCGCATCTCACTGGTTCTTTTTGTAGCGTGGAGGGGCTCCTTTACAACGCTGACACTCATGTCTTCATCCACCAGGACAACCCTCGCACCACCGCGTGCAGAGTGGCAGCCAAGGCCAATAACCTCGATGTCAAGCTCATCGAACAGTCCACTGTTCCTGAGGCCGAGTACGCGAAGTACAATCCTCTGAACAAGATCCCCGCCTTTGTGGGTTCTAACGGCTTTGTCCTGACTGAGTGCATTGCCATTGCTGTCTACCGTATGTATATCAACCCCCTTTTTACCCATCACTGCGCCCTTCGCAGCTCTCTGCACCGTTCTCAATATATATATATATATATATATATACATATTTTTCTTATTTATTTTATTTTCCATGATGAGTCATATTATCATTCAGTTATCCCTGACAGAATATATATATTTTCCTGTTGACTGCTTTTTAACTCTGAACCACTTGTTTATTTTAACAATGTGTGCAACCTTGTTGTCATGTTCGCTTGATGTCCAGACTATTTTAGCGAATCGGTATCGAAACTAACGTGTCAGAAATGTAGTCGTTTCTCAGAATGAGAAGACCACCCTTCTTGGAAAGACTAAGCAGGATTATGCTTCCATCCTGCGCTGGATGTCATTTGCCAACAGCGAACTCGTGCCCACGCTTGGCAACTGGTTCCGCCCCCTTGTTGGACGAGACCCATACAACAAGGCGTCTGTCGATGCCAGCTCCAAGGCCGCTCTCAGAGCCCTTGCCGTTCTCGAGAAGCATCTTACCACCAACACGTACCTGGTTGGCGAACGTCTCACCCTTGCTGACATTTTTGCTGCCTCCCTTACCTCTCGCGGCTTCGAATTTGTCCTGAGCCGCTCCTGGCGTCTGGATAACCCCGCGGTGACGAGATGGTATGAAACGGTCATTAACCAAGACATGTACAAAGCCATCGTTCCCAACCCAATCTTTACTGAGGAGGGTTTGAAGAATGTTGCCCCAAAGAAAACCGAGCAGAAGGCTGCCGCACCTGCCGCTAAACCCAAGGCCCCAGAGCCAGAGGAAGAAGAACCCAAGCCCGCCTCAAAGCCCAAGCACCCCCTCGACTCCCTCTCCAAGCCAAGTTTGATCCTTGACGACTGGAAGCGCAAGTACTCAAACGAGGACACCCGATCTGTTGCCATGCCATGGTTCTGGGAGCACTACAAGCCCGACGAATACTCCCTGTGGAAGGCTGACTACAAATACAACGACGAGCTCAAGATGGTATTCATGTCCAACAACTTGATTGGTTAGTTTCCCTGTTCATATTGTCATTTCTTCATTATCAATCTATTTCCCATATTGCGCCGGTCTA